CCCAGCTCAGTGTCCTGGTCCCAGCAGACAGCATGGGAGAGATGTTGGACGAGGAAGGAAGAGCAAGAACCTGCAATATCACCAAAAGCAAGGTCCCTGCACTTAAAGGCATCCATATAAGAGCCTCAAGACACAGGAGCCATATAACTGGCCCCAGCTCTCCTCATGGCCTGCTACACATAGAAACACAGGAGGACCTGGTTCTGAGGCCCGGTGGTAGACATGGGCTCTGTGTGGAACTTCTAGCCCTTGGCCTGCCTTGTCCACAGGTCTTCATGCCAGCTGACTGAAAGTGGGACACGTGGATGTTCTTTTCTATGTGTGGCTGCTGCAAAGCAAAATACCTCACCCCATACCAACCCCTGAATGGGGCCCTTCTGTTAACAGGAATCTACTCAGTAGGGATAAATAGCCTGTCCCCCACTGCACCTCCATACTCTCTGCTGACCCCACCCCGGGAGCAAGAGTGCTCAGCTTTCAGGCTCACGCCCGAGACCTGCCTGAGCTTCTCCCTTCCCACCCTCCAGTCAGGAAAAAGGGAAGGAAAAGAAAAACTCAGAAACCTGAAGATTGTTTGGAATTTATTCTCTTAAATAAGAATGGAACATTTGTTAAAAAAAAAAAAAAACTTAAAAGCACAACACCTTGGTTTCACAGTAACAGCAAAAACAATGTTACACAATTAAATAAAAACTCACAAAGAAACACACCAGAAACTCACAACAGCACAGGGTAAAAACAAGGGCAAAAAGAAAAGCTTCAGGGAAGGCCAGAGTGGACAGGTGACGTGTTCCTTGGCACAGCTAATCCTCCCCTGCTCTGGCTTCTCTGTACCGCTGCTGTGGGACTCCAGCTTGCTGCCTTTCCCTCCCTCGTGCCCCCCGAGCTGAATGGCTCAGGAAAAAAGTGATCCCCTTAATTCATGGTTCAGACCTTCAAGGCCATCGTGGGTCCCTTTGCAGAGGTCATAGGAATGTTCCACTGTCCTGCAGAAAATTGCCAGAGACACAGTAGATCCCGAAACACAGAAGAAAGTTGAAATAACAAACCCAGTGGAGCCAATAGAGAAACTGAAACACCAAAGGGATAGAGGGGTATCTGCTTCCCTGGGATTCCTCACTAGCCACAGACCCCTGCTTTCTTGGTTTGTTCTAGAATCAATTTTCTGAAGTTAGAAGTGTGTACTGCTCATTTTTGGAGATACTCAGACCTGAAAGTCCTCTCCTCTATAGGTGTACTGTTCTGGGACTGCTCTGCTCCCTCCAAATCCAGAGCAGCACAGTTTCCAGTGCACAAGCTGCTTAGAAACATCTTCATCAGCATTATTTAAGGTCCAGTGCATAAATAAGTATCTATCCATATATATACATAATTATGTATTATATATGAAATTAATCCTATACACAGATAAATGTATATATACATATATATGTGTATATATTTATATAAATATTTACTAAATATTTACAAATCACCATTGATACAACTCATTGGATAGGGCTGGGGTGGTAAGGATTGCAGAATCCTCTCTGCCCTACTAAAGGGTTTTCCAGAAATGTCTAGAGGGAAGTGGCCTTGTGAAGGGGTAGGATTTCCTAACTTCCCACTATCAGGCAGGAACCCAGCGTTGAATGCAGTTCTCTGCACAACGTGGCTGTTCTTCTAGCTGGTGTGGGAAATGTGTGCATTTCCTAATGGCCCATCCAAGATCCCATCTATAGAGCCAAATGGTTATCATGCAAGGGGGGTCTAGGATGGGGAGCAGGCCACTTGTGACTTTGCAGATTTTAAGATAAATTTTCCAAAGACGACAGATTACTAACATGGTTTTCCCACTCCATTTCTCTGTTGCCTGCACCACAAATGTTCCCAGATGAGGAACTCTAGGAGAAAAGCTCTTCACTCCTTTCCTATGACACTCACAGCCTTTATACTACACTATGGGATATCTACTATGCACAATAAAAAGGGGCTCTTTGGACAAGAACTCCTAAACCTTGCAGCTGAGGGTCTCACGTTCATGGGGAAAATTCTCTTATCTGGGGGTTTCCTTTTTCTGCCTGTTGTAGTGCAGGTACTGTGAGGCCAGGGAAAGACAATCTGTGCCAGGGCCACTATCTGCGGCAGTGAGAGGAAGAAGTTTGGAAATCAAAAATTTACAGCTTTGAGAACAGAAAAAGAGGATTTCTCTAGTAAAAGCACATTACAAACAAAAATATTGTAAACAATGTCTCCCAAACACTAAGTTAGGCAGCAGTTACAACAATAGATTAGGTAACCAGAGAAAGACGACATTTCAAAGCAGATCTAGAGTGGGTGCTTTGAACTTGTTGGCTGTGTTCAGGTTTTTGTTGTTGTTGTTGTTGCTATTGTTGGTGGTGGTGGTGGTTTTATTTTTTGTTGTTGTTGTTGTTTTGTTTTGTTTTTGGCAATAACAGTAATTTGGCATGGGGGGTAGGAACATAAAGAGAAAATGTCACAAAATAAAGAGGTGGTACAGAGCACAAGCAGGCAGGGTTAAGTGCTGACTACCCTCACAGCTTTTCCAGCTCCACCTCCTGGAGGGAAGTGGGTCCAGGGAAGGTGGTTTAGTTATACACAGTCAAGTTCATTCATTCACAGCCCTTCCTGGTCTCCAGTGCAATGGAGGAGGTACACTGCACATCTGGGTTAATGACTGCTCTCCTGACACATATTCTGCAACCCTAACTCCTGAGCTTTTTAAAAGGAAACTCTAAAGTAATCAAAGCTTTGGTTTGGGATTTAGTGAAGGAAATCTCTGTCAAGGGAGAGAAAGGAATATATCTCAAGCCAATTATAAAATACCACTCATAAGTCTGTTCCTTTTCTGAAGAGCCTGACAAAAGTGAGCTCACAGGGAAAGTGCCAGTGCAGCATGTCAGGACACAGAGCCGTAATTCCTGAAAGTTTAGGTTTCCAGGGCAGAAACCACTGAATCCTCCCCGGTCTTTCTGTTGTCTAGATGGTTTCTTAAGCTGGGTGCTAGTGCCAATCGTTCACCTTGAGGGTTCAGCTGGGATACCATCCTGGGACTCGCTCCTACTTTAACAGCCATGTCATGTTCTAGCTCAGAACCAACAGCCACAGGAACTTAGACATCCTTGGGACTTTGGTTCTTTCTTGGGTGTTTGATTTTTCAACTACATTGCCAACTCACATTCTCTCCCTGCTCCTCCTCTGGGAGTCCTCAATTCTCTACAGCTCCTATAAATCTGAAATCCACTATACCTTTGATTAGACAGTAATAATGGTAATCTGAATCAGATGGGAAAATGAGCAAACTCAGCTTGTTCAGGGATGACCTGAACTTCTTTGTGTTTAATTCTTTTTAAAGAATCTTCTATATGTCACACACAAAGTCAAGTTTAATTTCTTTGATTTGCTTTACTGAGTAGTCAGGTTCTTAGAAAACCTACCTCTGCTGAAATAAGGCTAACATGGTAGTGCTCTCACCTGACCACACATACATTCTATACTGAGAGTCAAGCCCAAATCTCTGCCTAGATCTCGCGGGTAATCTTCCTCTATTAGCAATTCCTACCCCTCCCCTCCATGCTCTGAGGGTGTCAACTGCAAAGGGAAAGATGGACTACAGAGGGTCTGAAGACTGTAGAGGGCTTAAAAGGCATTCAAGGCTTACACATGGCTTTAATAAAATGTTAGTCCCACCCAGCAGGGCACATAACAACTTTCTCTGAGTATAATAAAAAGGGCACATGCAGTACAAAAGCCAAGCCAAGTTCACAGAGCTCAGCTAGGGTTGCCGAGTTTCATCTGCCCCCTCACAGCACCCAGATGCTGCACACAGCTTCTGGGCACCTTCTACTCAAGGCTTGCATCATGGGAATCTTTCATTGGAAGGCAAAGGGGACAATTTTTCTCCTTTCTCATCAAGGAAATTCTACTACCAACTCCACCATGGTTGCTGCCATTGGCTGATAATCTTGAATGTTTCTATGAGCTTCTAAATGGCTACTTGTGATACATCTGCTTTGAGTCAGAGGAAATATGTGATAAATCAGAAGCATGGTTCTGCTGTCTTCCTCTCTTATATATACCCAGTGACCCAGTGCTGTGAACAATCCAGGATTGTCTTAGGGGCATCAACACTGCTCAGCAGTTTGTGGAACTGTGGACACAGCACAAGGGGCTGAGAGGGGCAATGTTAAGGAAAAATGCAATACAATTCCTGACAACAGGCCCTGTGTCCATGAGACCTCCTAGTCCTGCCCTGCTATGATCAGAGTAAGTTTGTTTTTAGAGGTAGAGATGGTGTCATTTACCAGCAGACATAGGAAGTGCTCATCAAAGTGGGGCAAACTAGGGCTTGACCCTCATTAGAAGTTCAAGTGCTCTGAAGTGATCACTTCGGCATGTATGGGTCAAATGGAAGAGCAGTGATACCTTATCCAGATATCTAAACAGGGAATTTCAAGTTCAGGTTCAAGAATTTCAAGTTCAGGTGAACACAAATCCAGACCACAGGCCCTTGAGGATCACAACTCTATGCTCTGACAAAGGAGTCCTAAACAAGGATATACATGAAGGCCTGGTGACTCTGGATTCCCAGCCAGGGCAGTGAGCACAGTAGCCTATTCTGGATTCCTGTTTATCCACATAGGATCTGGATCAACTACCCTAATGAGTCTGATGAGGGATGCAGGATGGAGTCAGAAGCTTTGGGACTCAGAGTAATCAAACCCCACAGCTTGGTGATACTGTCCCCAGAAGTGCCTACTGGCTCACAGGCTGCCAGTAGAACTCCCCTCTGATCTGCACCAGCACCTCCGACAGGCCATAGAGAAAGGGGACTCCGAACGCAAGCAGCTGGCACATGAAAAAGGAGTCCAGGGGATTTTGGGCCACCTGATGCCCAATTGAAGAAATGTTGCTTTGGAGGTGCTGGCTCATCCCCTTGGCCTTGTCACAGAGGCCAAGAGAGTGACGCGCCACCCAGCCAAACAAGGAAGTGAGGCTACCTGGGGTTCTCTCAGCCAAGCTGGTGGTGGTGCTGGCCCGTCCATTTGTGTCTGCAGTGGGGCCATCCTGCAGTGGTCCTTTGGCCTCCTGTGAAAGTCCACAGTGAAAAAAGGAGTGACTTACTAAAGCACTCAAACCACACAGGGAAATGACAATGTCATCAGTTGGTTTGTCTCTGCTGACCTCACCAACCTGGACCCCTCACACACTAACTCTTTAAATAAATGGACACATGTGGAAGTCACCCAAGCATATCTTTCCACAAGCCCCTGTGCAGTCAACAGAAGCCTCTCGAGAAAGCATGACTTAGCCTGCATGCTAAGCAGATGGGATTCATGTAGTGAGGAACCGCCCTGCTCACCTTGATGGAGAGAGATGGAAGAGCCACTTCCATTTAAAAAGGGGGAGGGGGACAGATGTTTAACACTATGGTTAAGACACCTGTGTCACATACTAAAGTGCATGGAGGGCCTGGGTTTGAGTCAAGCTTTCTGTTAATGCAGAACCTAGGGGAAGGTAGTGGTGATAGTTCAAGTAATTGGGTCTCGGCTACTCATGTGGAAGATCTGGACTGAGTTCCCAGCTCCCAGCATTTGGTAAGTGAACTAGCAGATGGGAGCTTACTCTCTGTCTCTCTGCCTTTCAAATAAATACATAATCTTAAAAAAAAAATGAAAAAAAAAAGTCTTAGATAGATACTCTATAGAATAAGGGAATTAAGGGATTGGCAAGGCAGAGCAACTTTGAGTCAAGTTCCTTTCCAGTATGGAGGGCAAGGCCTAGCTCTTGCTCCCTCTGATCTCAGATATCGAAGAGTAGGGGCAAGGGGGAGACAAGGTGAGACCCCTCCTCGTGTTGCCTTTTCTCTCACCACAGCTGGCTTTCTTGACGAGAGCTCTAATTATGAGAAAATTGAATAGGAAGTCGCCCTCAGCAGCAGGGAGCCCTTCCCTCAGGAAGATTTATTAACAGAGGCACACATCCACTATGTGAGTGAGCTGAGGAAAGGACTACATGATCTCCCAAATACAGCTCAGGTTGTGGAGGGGATACCACCTTAGTGAAGCTCCTCATGCTTTCCCAAGGGAGGCTAGCTTCTCCCCAGACTGTACTGCAACCCTGCTTCAGGCCCTTCCTACCTGCTTGCCATACCCTGACCTATTATTACACCCATATGGTGCCCACTACTTCGCTCCCACTTACAGAATGGATTACCAGTACCTTTGCAGACAGAGGAGCCACCGCCGGTCTCTTCCTCTGGGCGTAGCCAGACAGTCGGTAACAGTAGTGTGGTTTACAGTAGAATTTACCTGCAGGCAGCAAGGAGCAGGGGAAAGGGGAGTGAGTAAGACTAATTCTGAACTTGACTCCCTGGTCTTAGTATACCCCATACCTCTCCTCTAACCACAGAATGCCATCACCACCACCCCAGCCTTCCCCAGGCCAGCTTTCTTAAACTTTGAGTCCAGTCCTCCTCTTCTCCTTTGCCTCAAGTCGGGGGGGAGTAGTGGTGGTGTCTTTTCCTTTGGGTATGTGAAGGCCATTGAGCCATCACCCAATCAGAGATGTGAGGCTTGCATGGAAGGGCCAGCAAACAAAGTGGCAGTGTGTGAAGAACAAAGAGGTGGTCACATGAAAAGTGGGGAACAGCATTTCTGGGGAAACCAAGAATGAATGCAAGAGCAGGGTGGAGGCGTGGAGGCTGCAGGAGGCGGGGCAGTGCTGGGTGTTAACTCTGACGGGACCACCACCACTGCTCCCCTCTCCCACCACCCACCAGCCAGTGCTGGTCTAATGACAGGCTAGGACCTTCAGCAGGTGAGGAGCAGCATTAAAGGAACAGTACAAAGCAAAAGGTCCTGCAATGGCTTATCAGAATAATGGGGCAGAATGAAACAGTGCTGTGGCACCACTGGAGTTAAATATTGTTTCTTAAACTTTCAGCCATGTCTGTATGTATTTACTGGGTTCTGAATGGTCAAAAATCACTAATTCTGGCTTTTCCTATGACACTGGCATTGGAATCAAATCACAAAGAGTCCGATTCTTTCACCTCACTTAAAGGGCTAAAGCTTTTGAAAATTAAATGATAGACCCTATCATAGAAACTGCTGAAACAAGAACAGTTCCATTTCATCTGTCTCATTCACAGAGAGTGCTCCTTAGAAAAATGAGTTTTCCAGAGGGCAAAGTAAAAATCAGAGGACCTACAAGTCAAAGACCATCAAAGTGAGACGGCAGCTTCCTATTTCTTTCTGCCTGGTGATCTTTCTTCTTTTCCTTCAAAGGAGCTGACTTGTTTTTCTTTTTACCTACACTCCACCACCACATACTGAATAGGCTATTAGAAATCTAGCTTCAGGGCCGGCACCGCGGCTCACTTGGTTAATCCACCGCCTGTGGCGCCAGCATCCCATATGGGTGCTGGTTTCTAGTCCCGGTTGCTCCTCTTCCAGTCCAGCTCTCTGCTGTGGCCCAGGAGGGCAGTGGAGGATGGCCCAGATGTTTGGGTTCCTGCACCCACATGGGAGACCAGGAAGAGGCACCTGGCTCCTGGCTTCAGATCGGCACAGTGCCAGCCACAGTGGCCATGGGGGAGTGAACCAATGGAAGGAAGACCTTTCTCTCTGTCTCTCTCTCTCACTGTCTGTAATTCTACCTGTCAAATAAAAAAATAAAATAAAAATAAATCTGCAGTTTCAACATTTTCCCAAATAGAATTTTTCACTAACTGCTGGCACCAGATGAGGACTCAGTACCCTTTCGGCTATTGTCAGAACCACCCGACAGCTGAAGGACCATCACTCTTACCACTTGTTTCTCTACAAGGGAAGCTGAGTCAGGGATGGAGATTTATATATTTATAATATATATTTATGTATTACATATAAATATATATTTAAGTTTGGCTAAATTTTGCTTTTATTATGTGTAATAAGCCCCTCTGTGTTTATGAATTTTGGTAAAAGGTAGTAGTATTTGGATCACATATCACTTTTTGGGGGTTAAGAAATAGGCTTCCCTAACATGATTGTTACAGGGACCAGCAGCCATGTGGTTTAGCACCATTCACCCCAGAGAGGATGTGTGATCAGAATGGGCCCTTGCATACCTCTTTCCCTCTCCCCACTCTTATAAACAGTGCTGCAGGAGCTGGCTTGTGATTAAAGCCAAGCCAAGCAGAGCCACTCTGGGGAACTGATACCGATGGTGAAGTTCTTGAGAAGGGCAGCTCTTCTTCTCTGAGAACACTACTGGGAAGGAAGATACAAATCTGATCCTTCAACTTTAATCTGACTTGGGTCTCTATGACTTTGGCCAAGAACCTTGTTTATTAGAGTATGAGAAAACTACAACCAGTTATTGCTACCTTCATTCCTTCACTCTATTTTTTTTCTTGCATTAATTTGTTTTTTCTTACTACAGTAGAATTCTAGATCTTAAAATACAGCTTAACCAAACTCAACTCAATTTCCTTGAACCCTGCTCTGGCATGCTAAATTAACAGATAATTAAGTTTCAGAAAGAAGTCCCACAAGCCTAAACAAAATGTAATTTCCAAGATAATTCTAGAGAATTGTTTTCTCTCATAAGGCATTACAACACAATGCAAGGAACGCGAACACTGAGATCAGATCTCAGTTCATATTGTCTCACCCATTCAACAGCTGTATGAACTATTTAGCCTCTTGAAATATGTTCTCTATAGAAATGAATGCACTACCCATCTCACAGGTTGAGATAATCAAAACCATATCACATGTCAGGTGTTGCAGCTGTTCAATTATTGCTCCTTCCAAAACTCATCCTGATGGCAATTTTGCCTCTCTTTTTTTTAAGATTTTTATTTATTTATTTGAAAGGCAGAGAAATACAGAGAGAATGAGAGAGAGAGAGAGAGAGAGAGAGACAGACAGACAGAGGGGGAGAGAGAGAATTTTCTATCCACTGGTTCACTCCCCAACTTGTCCCAACAGCCAGGTCCAGGTCATGTCTCCCATGTGGGACTTGGACCATTTTCCACAGCTTCTCCCAGGCACATCAGCAGGGAGCTGGATTGGAAGTGGAGCTGTCAGGACACGAGCCAGTGCCCATATGGGATGCCAGTGTCTCAGGTGGCAGCTTAACCACCTGTGCCACAACTTTGGCCCCTATTTTTTACTTTTTAGATGAATGAAAAGAGCTATTTTTACTTAAGGTTTATCATGTGCAAGACACTATTTTAATTGCTTTATGTCTTTCAATTCATTTAATCTTCAAATAACTAAGTAAGGTAGTTACTGTTATCTTCCACCTTTTCCAGCTGAGATACAGAGGCTAGGCAATCTGCCCAAAGTATCCTAGTCATTAACTCTCAGAGACAAGATTTGAACCTAAGAGGATGCTCAGAGCCCACACTTTTAGCCACTGCCTCCATTAGTAAATCCAGCCAGGATAATGCTATAAATTACCTACAAATTAGGGATGATGCAGTCAACTGACTGATTATAGATGACCTAAATAGAAAAATCTGCATAAATACAAGAGTGACTGGAAAAGGGATTTGGAGTAAACAGATGGCTACAGAGCAAGAGTGAGGTAAACTGGGCCATTTATTCATTCACCCAACAGCTTCTGAGAGCCATTAAAGGACACTAGGAGCCCTTTGGTCAAGAAGACAGTCCTCTGGATGGAGCAGCTGATGTATAATTAAGTACCAGACAGCAGTGAAGATTGTATGGAGAGTTCAAACAGGTGCATGGTGGCATCTGGGAGGCTACGTCACATCAAAAGGTCTGGGAACAGCTCTCTGAGGAAAGGATGATGTAGAAATGTGGATGAAGAGAAGCCTACCCTGTGAAGGGTGGTGCAAGTACACTCCAGGAGAAGAGATAGCAAGTACAGAGCCCCAAGGTAGCAATGGCTCCCTCGTGTTTATGGAATGGAAGAGAACAGTGTGAAAAGAGCACACAGGCTGGGTGGGTGCCAGTGGATAGGTTAGGGTAAGCTCTTTCAACCTGGACAGAGGCTTCAGTGAGTAGGAAGATGGAAAGCAAGTGATTGGTGAGATCTGACTGCTCTGTGGAAACATACTGTAGGGCAGTATTGGAGGCAGGGAGACCAGAGGTCTGGGCTGAGGCTCAGCAGCTGGTCCGAGTGGTAGCAGCAGACTGTTCCCAGGCTTCTCCCTACTGGGAACTGCCCTCTACAGGCCCCTCAGCAGGTAGGGCCTGTGTTCGTTCCTCAAAGGGACAGGGAAAGATGTGACACACTAATTTAGAGTCTTGGTCGTAAAAGTTGGCAGCAACCAACAGTGAGTCTGTGTTTGGCAAGAAAAAGAGTAGCTCTGATATGGGGCAGACTGTAGCCTTTAAAAAGAACTGAAGGCATGAACAACCAGCAACTTGGGCAAAATGCAGACTTATCTTTAAAGTTTATCAGTTTGGAGTTGACAGTGGCCTGGAGTGACTCACTTCAGAATCCCTGGAATGGATCACAGAGGTTATTCAGTACAAACCAGCTCTTATTAGCCATGTAAACTTCGATAAGCAATTTATAACTTCTCTGGATGCAGTTTCCTAATTTTTAAATCATAATAAAAATGGCTACATTACGGGGTTATTGTGAGAACAAAATGACGTGATGTGTACAAAGGGCCCAGAGCAATGATTGGGTTATTTTCTTTTTCTTTAGCTATGTCTTTTCTTATGTGAGCCTTTTCAGGGAGATTTCTGAATGACCATAACCTGGATGAAGCATAGCCTAAACTTCAGTACCTCTAAAATTTTGTTCTTTTTCTCTGCTCCTCTGACAGATGAGGGAGATGTCTATGGAGGTGCTAAACTGAGGAAAATTTTATTTGCGATAAAATATGGGAAGTTGGTATGGACCCCTTGTCCACCACCACCCCAGGGTCAAGAATAATGCATTCAACCAAGCTGACCTCATCCTGTGCCAACGTCATAATCATTCCATCTGAGCTCCTGTCCTCCTCCTACCTGGCATGACATGTCTTCCCTTGATTCAACACCCCACACTTTTCTCTCAAAGTCTAACATAAGATCAAGTAAGTCATTCCAAATTGCTCTTGAACTTCATTGATTTCCTCTCTCCTCCCTAAATCTCTACCAGGTGCGACCTATACCATGTATCTGAGCCCTCACTCATATACTCTCACACTGTCTGCTTTGCTTCATGCCCACTGTCCTCACCATGCCCCTCAGAGTGTGCTCCTGGAGGCACATTTACACCTCCTCTTTATCCTCAAGGGACTATAGCAATGATGAGCACACATCTACAAGCAAAAACAAAAAACAACAACAACAAAAAAACTTGCAGGTTGGACCCAGCATTATAGTGTAGTGAGTAAACCTGCTGCCTGCAATGCTGGCATCCCATATAGTTGCCAGTTTCTGTACCAGATGCTGCACTTCCTATCCAGCTCCATGCTAATGTGCCTGGAAAAAGTAGCAGAAGATGGTCCAAGTGTTTGGGCCCAGACTAGTTCCTGACTTCTGGCTTTGGCCTGGCCTAGTCCTGGCCATTGCAGCCATCTGGGGAGTAAATCAGTGGAGGGAAGATTACTCGTGTGTGTGTGTGTGTGAGTGAGTATGTATGTGTTTGTGTTTCTCCCCATAAATCTTAGGAAAAAAATACCTGTGGGTCAAGGGACTGGACTTTGAGGGATTTTCTTCCAGGCAGATCCTAAGGCAAAGCCCAGCTAAAATAAGTTGATCATTAAGGACCATAAAAGTGGGCTGGGGGACTGCATCTACCAATTCCCATCCTGGAGTCAAAGGTGTTATCCAGATAGCAGGTGTGTGGGAAAAGTAGAAAAGAAAATTTGATATCTAAGAATTTAGCTTCCTTATCTAAACTGTCTTATTCTTTCCCCACTAATGGAACAAGAATGCTATAATGGTAAAGTTCAGTCTTTCTCAGTTCACTACTTCGGGCTCCTTTCTTGTTCCCTCTGACGGACTGCCAGTTTATTCACTGGAGGTTTATTCAGAGTAGGGCGTGCAGTGACTGTGCCTTATTCATACAGTGTCCCCCTCCTGCATGACGTCACCTTATAATTGCTCCACAGTGAAGAAATCACCTGTCACTGTAATGGACTTCATGCCTCCTATGTGAGGATTTACTTTCCTCTCTAGTTAACCTAGGTCTCTTCATTACTTACAGGTGATACAGCCTCCCATTAATTTCCTTCAGCATCTTACAGGAATGGTATAGGAGGCAGCAACACCTTTGGCTACCTATTTCAGTTAACTTTCCACATGGGTAAAAGGAGCTAAGTTTTCCCTACCTTTTACCATGTTCTACACATGGTTTTAACTGCTTCATCAACTCAATCCTCAAACAATCCAGTGACATAGGTACTGTTATTACTCATCCTTTAATTAATGGTTATCATGCTCTGCCTGCCAACCTCTATCAGGCTCTGTTATCAGTCTGCCTTATTCTCTACTTTCTACCCTATCAAAACCTTTCACTGTAAAAACAGCAAGTGTCACAAAGGGCTAGGCCTTGAATACCAATTAGATTTAGGCCAGATGCAATGAAGTCACAATTCATCAGCTATGGAGTGACAAGATGCCAATGCCAGAGCAAGGAGGTACCAGCAAACACATTTTAGTCATTCCAAGAGGCATAATCTGAGAACCCAGGAGCCTGGTATTTGGTTACAACTTGCTGTCAACCTTAGACAACAAATTTGACTTCTATGGACCTGTGACTCCCCTTCTAGAAAGATCTGTCCTTATTGGGTTCCTTTCATCTCAACACCCCATCATGAGGTGAAAAAGCAAGTGAGTTTCTATGAAGTCTGGGAGATGACTGAGGTGAATGCATTACTGAGCAACGCTATGAGACAGCCTGGTGACTTTGGGAAATATTTATAAGAACAAGTCTTACAGGAAAAAAAAAAAAAAAAAAGAACAGATGGAGATGGATGGGAAGAGTCAGGGGAGGTAAGATGAAAAAGCACACACAGAAGAACGCAGTCAGGGGCCCCAAGGTCCTAGCACCAATGGAGAACAGTGTCCTTGAGCTTGGTTTCTAAGTGTGGGCAGAGCTGCAAGAAGACTCACCGTCTTCGATGTCATAGGCATAGGCAGAGAGGCGCAAGGTGGTGGCGCAGTACTCGCATTTGAAGCAGCTCCGGTGGAAGAACTTGCCTTCAGCACTCAGCCTCTCCATCACGTAGACTCGCTTCTGGCAGAAATAGCACGTGTCACTGCCTCCCAAGTTCTGTGGGAACTCCTTCTTCATGGAGCCCTGCAGGAGGTGAGGAGAGGGAAGGGAGAAAGGAGGAGCACCTCAGGGCAGTGTCTCTCACTCAGGCTGTCCTGCTGGAGGTGCACAACCCTCTCTCTGTGAGTAAAACCAACCCTCACTAAGTGTTTCTGGAGAAAGACTATGAGTATTGAATGGCTATGGATCACTTGACTTTGGGCTTTCCAACAGGCAATGGCACTACTGCAATAGTTGTACCATCTGTGCTTCTGGAAAACCTTTACATGAGGTGGATTCTGAATCAACATTGAGCAAGAACCACGAGGAATCCTAAGCCAGTTTGCTTCTGATAAAGGATCCAATTTTACAGAGTTTCATAACAATCAAAGCAAGTTATTTGTCAGAATTCTGTCTCGAGGGTAGCATAGATACATACAAGGGCACTTCAAAAAGTTCACAGAAAATGGAATTCAAAGATATTTATTTTGGCGTAAAAATGTTTTTAACTTATTTATTTCAGAGGCAAAATAGTAGAAAGAGCTCCCTTCTGCTGGTTCATTGCCCAAATACCTGCAACAGCCAAGGCTGAAGCTAGGGGTTGCCACATAGGTGGCAAGGAACAAAATTATTTGAGCCATCACTGTTGTCTCCCAGGGTACATATTATTAGAAGGAAGCTAGAGTCAGGAGATGGAGCTAGGAATTGAAACCAGATACCGTTGTGAGACACAGAGATCAATGGCTAGGCCCAAAGACTGCTTATGTGCAAAAGTTTTGAAATTATGAATAGTTTTCATGTGCACTTTCCAAGAACTTTTTTGAAAACCCTTGTATTCTCAGTGTTCACATTGTTATATATATAATTAATATATATATTAGTCCCTTGAACTCTAGATTAAAAGCTACTGATACACCATATAGCATTCTAAACAACTATTGCTGTCCTAGAAATTCAATTATCAAAATTCAGACAAACCTCAAAAAAACATTACCATTACCATTACCTCATGGCACACATTGGCTATACAAGTTAGTAAGTTTCTTAGACCAGGTTTGTTTACCAGAGCTGTGTTATGTCTAGCTAGTCAGTGCCTTTGATACATCTCTTACCAGTTCCTTCTTGTCTAGAAGGGTTTTGGGCTGCTCTTTCCTTTGAAGCTGATTGGCTATCTGCTCAGCCAATGAGCTCACTCCGCCTGTGTACATCTTTATATACTTCTATTGATTGGAGATTATAAATGATCAGAATGAAGAGGAAAAATAAGTAAATTAAAAAGATGGAAAAATGTTTTTGAAAGGTATAAAATGAATACAAAGTGCAGCAGCAAACCATGCCAACACAGTGCCCACAAGCAGGGAAACTGGGTGGTAAGAAAAACACCGTGTCAGTGTCCACGCAGAGATGCCAGCATAGGATAGAACGACGGCTGCAGGAAAATTTTTCTTCCATGGGGGAGAATGTAGCCTTTCACATCTTTTTGGAATATTCAGTTCCAGGGTAATGGAGAGTTAAGAAGAAAGGATAGAGGCAAATACAGAAGAGAGTGAGAAGGGTCTGTATCTCAGGGACTCCAATTACAAATAAAGAATTTAGGAAGGTCAACTCCCATGTAGGTCGTGGATAACCAGAACAACCACTGTATCAGGGTACAGGAGAAGGCTGGGAAGGTTATTTCTTCACTTAGAAAAAACCAAGCTATTCTTACAAAGGCTGACTCTCCACTGGAGTAGCAGATGTCAACAGCTCTAGTATTATTTGTGATCATCTCCTTCCTCCTTATTATGCTTTACTGGAAGACGCCTTCTCAGCTATTCTCCCAGTTGATATTTAATGGGGGTTTAACTGCTGTCAGGAGGCCAAAGCCTTAGTCTGGATTGGGCATCTTAATGCAAGCTGCAGCCAAGCAGACAAGCTGCCCAGAAAGTCCTGAGAAGTTAGAATGTGCATCTATTCCAGAATGACTTACTATCACAGGTTAAGAAAAGATAAAAAAGAAAAAAAATCCAAACAACTTGATCCTGTCTTTGGCAAAGTTGAAAAAATAATAGGAGAAAAGGGCTAAGCTTTCACTGTAAGCCATCCTGTTCGCATCTAGGCTTGAATTCCCACACAGTCCAGCTTTGGAGCCTGTCCCCAGGAATGCAGGCAAAATCTACTGGCTGTCCATGTCCAGGTCATGATGCTTCTTGGAGGAACTACATGCAATAGGGGGTCCTTGGCCAAGCCTGAGGGGCTCTAACACTTAATTCTGACTCAGACACTCCAGGACATACTGGAGATGTGGTCTGAACAGACAAACATATAATGCCTTGTAAGAAAATCACTGGCCTGAGCAATGTCATGTCCCAGGCTGAGCAGGGACAGATAGAAGTATTCTAGGGTGCCCCCTAGAATTCTGTAAATCAGGGAACAAAAGAAGCACAAACAAGAAAACAATTTCTGTTTGGTTCAGGTGGCACTAACTTCATAGGTTATATTCATTAGTGGCCGAGAAAACAAGTGGCTCTTAGATCTAAACCTTCTTTAGATTAAGAACATTTAAAGAAGCTTAGGTCTGGAACAGACAGACACCAGGCAGAGCTGAGCAGATAATTTAATAGCTGACACAAAGGGAGCAGAAAACTGCATTTCTTTCATCCTGCAGCAGACAAGTGACAGTGTGAACCAGACATCAAATCTGAGGCTGGGACACCAAGCATGCCCTGGGCCCTCACTGCCAGCCAGGACCCTTCTCTCTGACCAGAACCACCCCCCTGAGCAGTTACAGCCTGGGGTTGCCACGTGCAAAGGCATTTGTCACATTCAGTTCTCAGCAATGTGATAACATTGACAAGCATTCCCCCAAGACTAGTGGAAGACTCAAATTCTATTTGTTACTGACATGAAGAGCAGATGGTTTCCTTCTCCCGACCCTTAAAAAAGTAGCTGAAATGTGGCAATAACTGGGCCTATCCTCTTGTACACCACACACATGCATACTCTTTCATACACATGTACCATACAGTCTGCAACTTGCTCAACAACAGGAAGCATAAGCCCAAAGGGCAATAAGATCCTCCAATCTCTGTAAAGTCTTCTACACTGGCTTAGTGCCACTGCAGGAAATAGCAAGATTCATTCCTCAAATGATTACACATCGAGGGGCACCCAGAATACTGCATATTTGCCCTTCCATTTAAGAGGTTTAAATACACTGTGGTTCACCATTTGTAACACATATTATCATGAAGAAATCTGGACTTTAAAAAGCCAATGGCTGAAAAATTTTTATCATTATTTAATATAGTTTAAATATAATCAGAGTAGGTGTACTTTGGTAGAACTGATGAGTTAAACACAACCCAGTAAAAGTTAGCAGCAACTTATAACTTCACTCTCTGGCCACAGACTTCACACATAAAACAGACGTGCCTACACACACACACACACACACACACAGGCAACGGGCTTCCTGTAAGGGAACAGGCCCAAGTTAAGATGTGTGCAACCTCCCTGGAGCAGACGACATTAGCGAAAGTGAAGTGAGTACAGGCTGCAGAGGGAACGCAACTTTGCCAAGTCCCAGGTCATGCTACCTGTCGGAGGGAGTCAGAGGAGGGAGAGGCAGGGCGGTTGGAGGAGCGAAGGCTAAGGGAAAGCTCCCACTGGTCGACAAAGAATCGACGAGAAGGTTCAGGCTCTGGCTATAAGAGAAAAATAAAATCAATGGAAACATTACAGTCACTGATCCAAACACATAATCTGGCAGCTTTGGGTTCTCTTACCCTATGCCTTTATGTAAACAACACATGTTGTAAAGAAACATTTTCAGTACCCGGAAGCACCAGTGGCTCATTCCAGGCTTCTGTTTTGCTTTCTACTTGCGCTGCCCTAAGCAAAGCGTGCTCTGGAATATGGCCTGCAGCTGTGAGCCACCTGTGAAAGCCCGGTCCTCTCCTGCTTGGTGTTCTGACTCTTCACCCTCAAGTGGACAGTGCTGCCAGGTAGGAGGTGCTGGAGGCACAGGTGGTCCCTTGCTAACACAGGTGCTCTTTGTGCTGTGTGGGGAGCCCTCACTGGCCTATCTTGGGATTTCTCCTGGGTAAAGAGATCCTATCACCAGTCCATTAGCTGTACAAACAGCAAGCGACAGGGACTGTAAATCTAGAGGAAGCTTGCTACTTCTTCATGGAAGCCAGGAACGGGTATCTCTTTCTTCTCTTGCTAATGTTTAGCAAAGCTCTGCTTGCCAAGGAGCTGGCTGAACTCCAGGCAATGATCAGGAGAAAAGACCCAAAGCCCCCAAGTCCTCTGCAGACTGCACACAGCATGTATAGCAGAAGTGGGTCGGGACTTCCTCATAGGGGGCCCATGCAACCAGGAACTCTGCAGTCACCAGAGAGTGAGAAGGTGGCTGAAAGCTCTGGTAAGTAGTAACTGTTTCCTCACACAGGAGGATCAGGGTGAAGTATTTGCAGGCAACTGTCAAGGTAATGGGAAGCCCTCTGCCTCTACAGTTCTAAGCAGAGGCATCCTGGCCATATTTCAGCAACACTCGCTTGGTGGGGATAGGGGCATGGCAGTTACCTGGTACCCCACCTGCATCTGCTCCAGACTCTCAGCAGGCTTACTGGCCCTGAGCAAAGCTCTGGGGGCAATCAGCCCCACAGGCCCTCAGAGGTCCAGAGAGACCTCTGGAGAAGAGTACCTCCCACTGTGGGGAAACCAAGAGGTGATGGGAGGCACAGGGCGGCTGAGCAGGTGGCAAGGAGCGAGTGGACGAGTACACAAGCAGGAGTGTGGAGTGGACAGGGAAAACCCTGGGAAAGAATGTCCACAACACAGCTCAAAAGCATCTGGCCTGGGGTCCTATACTGAGGAATCCAGAAACCAGCTCACAGGGAAAAGGAAAGAATGAGCTTTGCAAATCTTATTGCCTCCTGAGCTCCAAACCCCACCAGTCCTTGTGTGCACCGTGGCCCCAGGCTTCAGACTGTGTCTTCCTACCAACTTCCCCTTTCATGCCTCATACTTCTTTCCTTCCACTTTTAGGCACCGCTTTGTCCAAAATCATCAGCACCTCATTAAATACGCATTACTCCAAATGTAGGGCATGTCCCCGCTCAATGAAAATGCCTATAGTTCTTCATGAGGGGAACACTGCCTGTGGGAGAAGGCAGCCCCCTTCCCCTCAATCCTGGTCTCTGTAGGACACTCCCTGGCTACTGCTAGTTTGGTGAGAGGGCAGAGAGAGATGACATTATGATTCACTTCCTAAAGGAGCAAAGAAGTAAATTTACTGCTTGGTCCCAATGGCAGTTCTCAGGGAGGAAAGGCAGTGGGGGTAAAGCTGAGGGCATAGCCTTAGTAGGAATGAACTCCCAGAGGATAAGTATGATTCTTCACTTCTTTCAGAGGAGGCCTAACAACAAAAAATGTTTGATAAAGTAAGCAAGCTTCCTTACTGGGGCATCTCTGCTTTCATCATGACAGCCAGCTATAATCAGGAGTTTTCCCCCTAGCCTTTCAGAAAAGATGGGCTGAAGCTTTTCATTATGCACTCCCATCTTGCCATCATCTTCTTTGCCCTCATTCACTTCATACTCGGTCATTCCCACACTGGTCAGAGCTTTGGTTCTCACAGAATTCCTTCCTCCTATGCAGCAATACCTGACAGTCCAATGCGATTCTAGCACTGGCACATATTTTGAGGGCAGAGGTAGCAGGAGCTTGGGATGGAAAGGTGACAGAAGTAGGAAGTCATTAAGGCCCTTCACAGTAACACACTTAGGATTAGCATCCCACCTCAACTGCTGGGTGGAGGAACGCTGGGTGAAGTGAGTGCTACCTGCATGGGTCAACACTGATAGCACAAAGGATTCTAACTCTTGGCTAAGTGACAAGAGTGTGCAAAAAGCAAGGGGAGAGGAGAATGTCCCCCATACTCCCTTCCCACTGCCCACCCCGCTCCCAACCACAGCGTGCCCCATCTGTTTGCTTCTCAGCATCCCATGCCACGGGTTCATGCTCTTTTACCCTCTCATGGCGGGGACTCTGCTTGCCACGGTTGTCAGCATCAAGATCCCTGTAAGTCTGTTGGCAACAAAGTAGAAACTTAAGCTCCATCCCAATGTTCTCTCTGGACCTACTAACTGACAGTGGGAAATTTAGTGCCAGAAATTCAGAGTTCATTTCAACACTGTCTCTCCAGATCCCCATCCCAAGGAACCATGGTCCCATCTCTATCTAATTTCATGACTCAAGGGCAACTTTCTGCACAGCCATCTTGCTCACCTGCCCTCCACTGAGGTCAGCTATACAGACAAGTAAAGAACTACGGTTAGTACAAAAGTGGAACAAACGTATTTCTTCCACACAGGCATAAGATCAGAAGTGTTATGTGGAAGACTCAGAAGGAGAGGCAGGTTAGAAGAGTGAAGCTTTCCACAATAAGACATTAGAAAGGAAAAAGGAATATGGAAGTTGGCTGGAATTAGTGGCCGATACAACAGTTCAGAGGAACTCCAGGGTGGGAAGTGGTCCCTGGAAAGTAACATGAGACCAATTTATAAGGTACTAAAGAGTCAAGTAGGCTGACTGGAAGCATTTTCAGCAAATATACAGGAATACACATGTAAGAGGGATGGAAATCCCTAAGACAAGCTCATAGCTGCCTCACTGGCCTGAGGAAATCATTACTATAGTAACTGCAAGAGCTGGGAAACCAGTTCTTTCTGTGGATAACCAAGGGCTCATTCACCTGTGGCCACATACAGTGGAACAACTGACCCAAGGCTGCAGACATGGCCACTCCTTTCCAGTACTCAGGAGCATGTCTCCACAGGCAGGATGAGACTAGAGTTCAGGCTCCAGAATCACATGACACCCCAACTAAATTCTGCCTCAGCTACTTACTGTGTGGCCTTGTGCAAATTATTGGACCTTTCTACCTATACCTCAGGCTCTTCATGTATAAAATGGAGCTAATAATAGAGTTGTGAGAGCTGAGATAAAACATGAAAAGAACTTAGAATATTGTCTGGGTAAAGACTCAAAATTAGTACATATCCTGTGATATCCTGTGTAGAGACAAGGCATAGGGCAATTACAAAATCCACAATGGCTCCATCCTTAGACCCAGGGGTACAGGCTGGGTCTTTAAAATCAGACGCATTATGAGTGGCCATTTTTTAAACAGGCAATCTTAGTTGAGAGAATGTCTTTCCATAGATCTGACCCTTGAAACAAGCATTTTATTTTATACAGATATGCCGTTCTATAAATATACTTTGTGTAAGTGTGCTCATTGTCCTCATTAACTACATCTATGGTTAGCTACTATAAAAAGTAGTTCCTCAATGGTCAGCCTCAGGTATGAGTGGGGTGAATGAGAAAGGGCATATAGTGAAAAGAAGTTGGAGAAACAAGAGGCAAGGTTCTCAGAATCAAAAGGAACCCAATTAATGTAGTGACACCTGATCAAACCTTCCATATGTCCTAACTATATCTCACTGGACAGAAGGAGAGAAAACACTGCTTAAATGGTCCTTTATAAAAATGTGATGCCCTTAGGGATTCTGGACCTTGAATCTGTGGCAAATACAGCTGAGATTTTAAGCTGGGATGGCGCAGTCATATTCCTGTGGTGGTGTGAGACTAAATTAAACCACCCAGGCCAGAGTTGAATATATGATGCACTATACGGCTCATTTGCAGAAGTCAAGGTGACTTTTGGCACAAATGGTCTAAACAGGCAGGCAGGAAGACATAGGCAGGACAAGAGGGCATGCAGAGAAGATACCTGCTGGCTGGCACGTGCCCGACAGGGAGGTGGAGTAGGGGGAGGAGTGAGGGTGATCACTTTTTTGGGGCAGGTCCGAGAACGCTCCTTTTCCCGTTGCTTTTACAACAGACAAAAACAGAGAGAACATTGTTGAGACAGAGGACCACTCCCATCCTCAACAGCCAATCGCTATACAATCAGAGAGGGTGGCTGGTTGTAGCCTCTGGGGGCCTCCTGGTTGCTGTTAGGTTCCAGTTGTGCAGGTAATCTACAGCTGGTTAGAATCTGCAGTGCAGCACTTTCTAATACCAGGGATCATGGGGTTTATCAGGTACGCTAGTGAAGGAAGAAGTCAGCTTGATTACAAGTCGAGGGAAATGGCAACCACCATGAGGCAGATAAAGAGACCACCTCCCAGTAGCCACGTCTCACGCCAGGGCATTCTCCAAGAGCCCAAATATCATGCTGTCCCACCCCTGCTTCCCTCCTTAGTCTTCTCACCTACACATTCAGAAGGTTCTGCAAAACTATAAACAAATACAAGTATAAGTAACAGACCATAAAAGTTACACGTATTTCACTAACGGAAAGTCACACAGAGGGGTATGTCCTCATTCTGCCCCTCTCCATGTATCCCCTTCTTTGTGAGTCTAAGAGTCAGAAAGCCCCTTGTGGTATGAGAACACTCGCAAATTCTCAGGCCTCTCTGATACCTTCTGGAGTAATTCTCCACTTCCCTAGACCCAAGAGGCCATATAGGGGTAGCACACATGGAAGGCCTGGGGGAAGAAAAGCTGTGGAAGTCAGAAGCCTGGGGAGTGGCTCCATCACTGGTTCCAAACTCACATGACAATCTGTGTCAAAACCAAGGCTGCTTAGTATGCAGGGTTTGCCTGCAGGACAATTTTGGAGATCAAAAGGCAGAAGGGTGGGGAAAGGAAGAGCCATAGTATTTACAAAGGAGAGTGAAAAAAGTCACTGGCAATAGGGTTGTTACTCATTTTGCTTCTTCCACACTATGACCTAAGTTGAAACTGGTCCTTGTGCTAGCTTAGCCACCATCGCTGTGCCTGCCACACCCTCGTGCCTCAGTCTGAACTACTTCAACAGAGACACATGGTGAGTCACTCTGAGGTGGTACCATCAGGCCCCCAACTCCCCACAGGTGACAGAGGACCAGCTATCACTATGGGTGAGAAGAGGCCCCTGGCACCACTGAGTTCTTCTGTTCCAGATTATGTAGCATGTGGCATTGCATTCTAACTCTACTTTTCAGGAGATAAGTTATGATGGAGAAACGCATGATTTAGTGTTGAAAGGAAAGCTGTATATGAATATATATATATATTATATTATATTATATATATTATATTTATATTTATTATATATATTATATAGACATAATAAGGATCATTACAGCTCACCATAGGGCTATCTCTCTGTGGTAAAATAAATCTACAATTCCCAATTCCTTACAACCTAAGGCATACAAGAATCTAATAGCATTTACTTTGCTCAAGTCTCACTTCTCCATCTACCCAGCTAGTCTTTTCTAATTGTAACCTCTGTTGCCATTTTGCAGAAGCTATGTTTGACTTTAATGACTATTCTGCTTCCCAACTCTGCTTGCCAAATACCCAGATGTCAAGCTGTATAGACTAACAACATTCTTTATGTAGAACCCAGCCCAAGGCTAGAGGTGGCCAAACATTTGATAAATACAAGCAAGCCCCTAAAAACCAAGACCCCAACATTCTCAATACAGTCAATCAGATGACAAGTTGAATAGAGTCCTCACAAGGACAGAGGCCACAGCTCAGTCAGGTTCCTTATATCCCATTTGCTGATCTGCAACTTCCTAGCAAGCCCATCCCAACTGGCTCCAGACATTGCCACAGTGTATGTGAAGTCATTGGCTCATCAGGTTGCTGTGTTTACTCCTGATCTCCCTTGCCCTTTGTTTCCACCTCATTCATCCTTTAAGAATATTTTGAGGGCCAGCTGTTGTGGCACAGTGATTTACGCCATTGCTTCCAACATCAACATCCAATACTTAAGTGCTGGTTCAAGTCCCAGCTGCTCTTTAAAATTTTTATTTATATATATATATATATATATATATATATATATTTGAAAGTCAGAGTTACAGAGACAGAGGAAAGGCATAGAGAGAGATCTTCCAACTGTTCATTCACTCCTCAAATGGCTGCAACAGACGGGGCTGGGCCAGGACAAAGTCAGGAGCCTGGAGCTTCATCCAACTCTTCCACATAGATGCACAGTCCCAAGGATTTGGATCATCCTCTGCTGCTTTCCCAGGTGCATTAGGAGGGAGCTGGATTGGAAGTGGAACAATCGGGACTCAAACCAGTGCCCATATGGGATGCCAGCACTGTAGACGGCAGCTTAACCCACTGCACCACAGTGCCTACTCCAGCTTTGCTTCTGATCCAGCTTTCTGCTAATGCATCTGGGAAAGCAGTGGAACATGACCCAAGTGCTTGTGCCCCTGCCACTCATGTGCAAAACCCAGATGAATTTCAGGCTCTTGGCTTCCGCCTGGTCCAACTCTGGAGAATGAACCAGCGGATGGAAGATCTCTTTCACCTCTCTTCTGTCACTCTGTGTTTCAAATAAAATAAAATAAAATCTACTAAGAATATTGTGAGTCTAGAGTTTCTGAAATCTCTTCAACAAATACTCAATCAAAGATAACCTCTCAAATCACACCTGCAGCTGGACTTCGAAGAAAGGGGTAAGCAGATTCCTGATGAATTTCTTCAGAAAAACTCCCCAAGGCATAGAAAAAGGGGGAAGTTTGACAGTTTGGACAATGGTCCCAAGATCCACCACAGCCTCAGAGGACCTAACTTGAATGTGGCACAAGAAAGGTTAGAAAGAAACATGTTCCCCTGGACATAACATAAACAAAACCCAATTCTGTACCTCACAGCACCCCCACCAACTCTAGTACACAAGAGGCTGCTGAAGCCAGGGTGGAAGATGCTGATGGAATCAGGGATCAGCTCATCTGACCTCTCAGCATCTCATCAGTCCTGGTGATACCAAAATATGCCTCAGTTAATCTAGGCTCCAGTTAGAGCAGGAACTTGCTTGACTGTGACACGTGAAAAAAAAGTGGAGGCCTTCAACCCCCTGACAGCTTTCCATTAAAAAGCCAGGGCCAGTTCAGCACTGCTTAGGAAAGGCATTCTTCTGGGAGATCCTGCATAGGTTTTAGTGAAAATTTCCTAAAAGAGTATTTTAAATGTCTACAAAAAAAAAAAAAAAAAAGTACCAAAGAATGTCTCTAACCAGGGTGTGAAACAAAAATTATAGTTCAAGACTATTTTCTTATTGAATATGCTAGGCTCTTGCACCCCAATTCTCAGGCCTGGTGGGCTAGAGGATTCTCCCTCTAATGGTCATGAATACACACTCTAGCAAACACATTAACCTGGGACAAACATTACAATAGCAAAACCCCTAAGGGGAAGGTATTTGTACACCATAGCACATTACTTCAGTTACTTTCAATACCAAATGAACAGTCTGCTCTTGTAACCAGTTTCTCAAATCCCAAGGAGTTAAACAAATCATGGGAGCTAGTCAGCATTACCTGTCAAGTATTCTTCCAGAGTCAGTGCTCAAATGAGCACAGAGCCTTCCCACATTTGTGAGCTAGGATTTATAAGCACAGGCCTGAATTGCTGGCTAACCCAGGAGAACAGGCAAGGTGGCAGGGCCTGGGGTGGCAGCCCCCATGTCAGTATGGAGCAGTTCCTTTACCTGTTTCCACTGGGGGATGGGAGCAGGGCGGCCCTGCTCAGGCAGGCAGCAGGATGGATGGCTGACCCCACGCTCTTGTGTCGGCTGTGACACACAGGCCAAGAATGAGAGAGGGACAGGACATGGAGACAAAACAAAATAAAATACATTAAGGGAAGAGAAGACATGAAAAAGGTACTGATGGAGGGACAGACACACATCTAAAAAGGCACTTCAAAAAGTTCATGGAAAAAATGAGTAAAATATATGTTTATTTTGGAGTGGGCATTTAGCCTAGTGATTAAGATGCTCACATTGCATATCAGAGAGCCTGGGTTCAATTCCTGACTCCAGCTTCTCATCAATGCAGACCTTGGGAGGGCAGTAGTGTGATGGCTCAAGTAATTGGCTCCTGCCACTTGCAGGGGAGATCTGGATTTGAGTTCCTGGCTCTGGCTTCAGTCTGCCCCAGCCCCTGCTGTTATGGGCATTTGGAGAGCGAAGTGGGATATGGGAGCTCGCTCTCTTTCTCTGTTCTCTCTGATAGAAGGCTAAAAAAAATAAAATAAATTTAGAAATCCATGCATCCAAGAGTCTTCACAAAATTCATGAAAAAAAAATCATATTATAAAAATATTATGCATAGATTTTAAAACTTTGCTGCACCAAAATCAACTTACTTTTAAATTCCATTTCTCACAAATTTTTTGAAGTACCCTTGTATGAACTGCGGGGGAAGGAGGCCGAATTAATCCCTAGAGATTTGCCTCCCTTAAACCAACAGAAAGTGTTGAAAAAGAGAAAAGAAAAATGCAACTTCGCCTTGGAAGCATCTTCCCTATTGGAATGCAATCCAGCCTTTCTGAGGCCTCTGGGCAACCTCCAGTGTTTCCCAACCAATAGGATCATCTTTCCTGTGGGTCATAGCATTAAAAGATTGGATGCAAAGACTAATAAGCAAAGACTAGAAGCAGGAAGGAGTTAGTTATGGTCAGGCATGGGTAAAGTCAGTCTCCCCTACCATCCTGGTCCATAGGAACAAGGGCTGATAAGTGTGGAGAAGATGAAGAAAGAAAGAGAACAAAGAAAGTGGTTCCCAGTCCCCTGGATGCTCTAGAAATTTTCAGTGTGAATCTCAAAATATCAGCCCTCCTCTTGTTAAGAAGTCTTAGTGACTTTTAGACAAGCAATGGGAAAATGAGACCTAACAGAGCATCTCAAGTCAAATGCTCTCATCCTAGCACTCTCAAACACAACTTCCAGGAGTGCAGGTCCTTGCAGGAGTGTAGGTCCCAAAATGTTCATATTCTTGATAATAGCCTACGAAAATTACCTGTAAAACATGGGAGAATCCTTACCACAAGGATGTGTACCTCTGTGTTTTATCATGAAAGATGAAAAATAACTGAAATACCCAACACTAGAACAAGAGTTATGAAAAGCATGGTACCTACACACACCATGGAATATGCTTATAAGAGTGTGGAACAACATAGAATGTGTCTAAAATTAAATGAAAAACATAATAGAAAAGTGTATCCTGGGGCCGGTGCTGTGGTGTAGTGGGTAAAACTGCCTCCTATAGTGCCAGCATCCCATAAGGGCGCCAGTTCAAGTCTCAGCTGCTCCACTTCTGATCCAGCTCCCTGCTAACATTCCTGGGAAAGCAGAGGAGGATGGCCCAATCCTTGGGCCCTTGCACCCACATAGGAGACCCAGAATAAGTTCCTGGCTCCTGACATTGGTTCAGCTGAGCTCCAGCCATGCGGCCATTTGGGGAATGAATCAACAGATGGAAGATCTCACTTCCACTCTCTTTCTCTCTTCTGTAACTGCATTTCAAATAAATAAATAAATCTTTAAAAATAAACAAACAGATTGTTTCTCAGGGTTTAGCAAACACTCAAAATAGGTATCCTTTAAAAAAAAAGTAAATACTAAGAATGATCTCAACTACGAAAAAAGGAACACATTGGAAAAAGAAAGCACAAAGAAATACAGCATAATATTAACAGAATTAGAGGTGCCTTAATTACCTTTACTATACTTCTCAGCATTTTCACTCAATATACTTCTTGTACAATTTAAATGTGTGTGTGTATGTGAAAATATACCTAAGTACAGATAGCTTAAGTGTGTATATACACACCTAAGTATGTAAGTATAGATAAGTAGATATGGGTACACATTTCTTAGGTCCCTCTGCTGCTTCTGTTAGACACTTCACACTTGAGTGCTGAAGATAACGTAGCCCCAGACACCTAAGATCAGCTTGTAACATGCTCACCTTGGCCACTACTAGACACAGGAAAGCCAGACACCAGTCCTGCCCATGAATCCAGGGGTCTGTGACTGAAAAGATCACTCTCTACTGTCTCACCTGCCCAAACCTGGATGAGTGAGGAAGCAGAAGGGATCTACCTGTCTCTTTATGCCCGTGGACTGTGGGGGTGCATTCTCTTCGAATTTGGCCAGCAGCTGGGTTGCCATGTACTTCACTTTGTTCTGGTTCCCGATGGCAATATCCATCCTCCTGTCTGTCAGAGTGCTCACCAGTGTTGGTCTTTCTCCTCTGTAGCCCCGAGGTGCTTCCTCCTAATGAACACAAAACATTCAAGGATCAGAATTGGTGACAGGAGGCCTTCCCAACACCTCCCTCAAAGGAGGCACTGTCAGTACCAAGCACAGAGGCTGGGAGTTATACTTTAGATTGAGCTTAACAGCTCTCTGACCTTCAAATGGAGTCAGCAAGACTTTGGCACACAGGGCAAAACAGATATACTCAGACTTGTGCTGGTATTGTCACATCCTAGGAAGGCCACTACACTTGGCCAAATGTGTGATTCCAAAAAGACAAGAAGGACTGAGTACACACATGTATATGTTCCCCTCATGCTCTCTGGAAAATTAAACAAAGACAAGAATCCACAGAAAAGCATCTGCCCCAGGAAATTCTCATAAAGTTTGTGTATGAAAAGCAATTTGGGAAGGGTTTAAAGCATAAATCAGCCAGATGAATCCTACCTCCTCTGATTGACTAGTCTTTCTCCTCTTTCCAGCACCATCCAAGTCCTTTTCCTTTTTATCCTGTACCAAGGGAGAAGTGATATGCATTATTCCAGTCACTACACCTTACCAATAAGCTTTGCAGCCAACAAAAAGACTCCTGCACATACCTTGGGAGAACGCTTACGGGAGATGGTCTGCCCCAGTTTGCTCAGGAAGGAGATGGGGGATTTGGTGCTGGCTATCAGGACTGCTTTCTCCTCAGCATTCAGGTCCAAAGTGTCTGTGAACAGAAATCAGCACAACTCAAGGGTAGGCTGGAGGGCACTGCAAAGTCTTGATTGCAACTACTCAGCCTTGCAGGAGGATCATGAGACCTTCAAGAGTTCTAAAGGTTCCTCAGCTCTGTGGGAAGCTTGTGGGTCTCAGCAGAAGACTCCTTAAAGGAAAGACACCTTTGGGTTTGGACACTGAGTCTCCTCTTTTCCATCAACATAAACAAAAACAACTTTCTTTCCCCCAGTCCACTTCAGTTATAAACACTTGCACTTTTGCTTTTCAAAAGCTGGAATCTGCTGATCGGGGTTACAGCAAGATGGAGAAGAAAGCAGAGGTATGTGACTCAGGGTCATGGGTTTCACTGCATACAGATGCCGTGTTCTCTGCTATGCCACAGGCCCCAGAGCAGCAACATCAGTGTTGAAGCTGTGGGTTTCTGTCATAAGAACTATATATCTGCTCAGGAGAAGCCACAGAAATACATGGCCTGGGAGACACTGGAGGATGGTACCATCAACTCTGTGGACTCCAATGTTATTAGTAATAACAGTAATTTTAAAAATTATACAAGGCCAATATTTGTTAAGTGGCTCCATTTGTCAAACGTTCTTCTTAGCATATCATAATGTGATTACATACATCATTCCCATTTTACACATTGGGAAACTAAGCTGTAGAGAAATTTACTAACTTCTCTAAGGTCAAACAAAGTGCTGGGATATAGACCCAAGGCTGCCACTATGGTCAACACTCTTAAACATTATGCTACATTTACTTCAAGGGGCAATAAATGAAAATAATTATTATCTGTAGCACTATGACAGAATGAGGCATCAGGCTGAGGGCTTAAAGATTTTTGGGAAACACTAAGATGTAGGAGTAGAAAGATAAACCAGGGGAGGAACACTAATAGAAGAAAGAAGGAAATGTACCGAGTATGGTAACATCACAGAAGCTCACAAGAGAGAATCTCAAGAAAAAGAATGTCTATCCACAGCGCTGAATTATGCCAAAAAGCCAAGTATGCAAGAGATAAGACACAAGAAATAGAACAGAAATTTGGCAAATCCCAGACACTCTGTTTCTGATCCAGCTTCCTGCTAATATGCCTGGGAAGGCAGCAGAGGATTGCCCAAGTGCTTGGGTCTCTGCCACCTGTGTGGGAGACCAGGATGGAGTTCCTGCCTCCTGGCATTAGCCTGGCCCAGCACTGGCTTTTGCACCCATTTGGGGAGTGAACCGGTGGATGGGAAATCTCTCTTTCTCTGTCTCTCTCTTTCTGTCACTCTGCCTTCCAAATAAATAAATAAATAAATACTTTTAAAAAAAAGTTTGAATAGGAATGATTTTTAACACACTTACAGATTTTAAGAGAGGGACTGGGGAAAGAGGGAGTGCCCATGATTACACAACTAGAGAAGAGAAAAGCAATGAACAGGAAACACAAGGGAAGCTCAGGTTTGCTGTCAGTAGTACTGATGAAGGATGCAGCTGGAAGAAAAGAAGAGACAGGCAGCAAGAGATGGAGGCCCTGCACACCAGCGCCCAGCAGGCCTTACCACTGGCGGGGAGCGAGTCCTGAAACATCTCGTAGAACTGAGTCAGGTACATCACCATGGACAGCTTGTCAGGTTCCCCCACGGAGGCCATCTCTTTGCCTGTCATGATGGGAGAGATGCCCAGTTCTTTCTCAGCAATATCGAAGGCCAGCTGGTTATTCTTCTCCACATTCTGCTCATCCAAAGAATCAAAATCTCTGAGAAACAGGATGAGGACAGTGTATCAAAACAGGTGACTGCCCTCAAACAAGAAAACAAAATATCACGGAATCACCACTTCTCAGACTTGAGGCTAAAATCCAGGGAGCAGACATTATGGACATTTGAGATCAAGCCCCTTGGTCTCTTCCCTTTCATTAAGGACATGAAAAGTATTCTCAAGAAGAAATGATTAAAGATCTACCCACTAAAGGGGGAAGAAGTTGAAAAACTCATGTTTTTGGTAACACAAATCTTACTAGTATGTAAGCTCAAGAAAGGAACCTAATTTTTATATGCATTCTCTTGTACCTTGTGTGTCATCTATATATAATAAATGACAGTAAATAATGATAAGAATCCTATTTGGATCAGATTGTTCCCAAGGGCTTAGGACTATCAGATCTGGTGGCCTTGGACCTGACCAACTGCTGCTGTACTAGATCAGCTCTGGTAAACCTTACTCAGCTTTCTTTGTGAGGGGAAGTTCCAAAACCTTCCTTAAAAAATTTTCCATTGCTAAATTTCCTGAGTTTTCCCAAGTATTTAGATGAATGATATTTCCTACTGGGGAAATGTTTTAAGCTTCTTGCTATTCACAGTAAAGACTGATAGAACTCTTTAGGTAATTTCAGATTAATTAGACAGTCCTTATTTTATGCTAACCTACTGACCCTGCTGCACTTTAATTGTTTAAAATTTATTTTCCTTGAAGATTAGAGCTATTCAACTATGGAGACTCTTCCTGAATGAAATCACCATAGTCTAACCAGAGCCAAATTCCCTACCTACTGCTTTGTGTTTTGAATAATTCCCCTAGACTTTTTCCAGGCAACAACTGGTCTGTTCTATCAGGAATGAACTTTCTCTGCCCCACATTCACAAGTCAACATCATCTACTAGGCTGCCCTCGACTACTCCTGTCTTCATCTTTTTTTCCCTTTGCCTTTCCTTTGAAACAAAAACTGATTAGCTAGTCCATCTTCTTTTCTTTTTCTTTATTTATCTGGGAAGGCAAAGACACACACACACACACACACACACACACGGTGAGGGCAAAACAAACAAAAAACAGAGACAGAGATCTCCCATCTACTGGCTCACTTTCCAATTGCCCACGAAGGCCAGGGCAAAGCCAGGAGCCAGGAATTCAAACCTGGTCTCCCGTGTGGGTGGCAGGGACCCAACTGCTTGAGCCACCTGCTGTCTACTATGGTATACATTAGCAGGAAGCTGGAATTAGGGGCAGAGTTGGGACTAGAGCTCAGCTATTCTGATATGCAATGTGGGCATCCCAAGTGGTATCTTAACTGCTAAAGCAAATACCCATCCCATCTGGCCCATCATCTAAAATAGTTCTGTGTCATATTTTTATTTCTTTCTCTTTTTTGGTCATAATCTTTCTTGAGCTGCTTCCCTTCTTTAGTGGGAATAATAAGCCTTATTTTCATTTACTTTTTACCAGCTTCTAGATGAGCCAAGGACAGGTGCACCTGAGGTCTCTCACTTTTATCCAAGTAAATCAGAATCCCCATTTTGAATCCACACCATGCAAGGCTGTTTTTACAAGCTCTTGCCTCATTAGTTTGTAACCATCACATGAATAGCAACCATGTCATTTAGAATTCCTTAGGCAATCATTAAAACAAAACAAACAAAAATTGGGCCCTTAAGTGATAAAAAGGACAGGCAGCCAAAGTAATTCAACATGTTCAACTCCTGTTTCTGAATCTTTTGTTTGGCTTCCATGGTAACAAATGCCTCTGGGGGAAATCTGAGTGCACTGGTCACCACAGCAGACAGAAGGTCATCCCAGTGAACTGACTAGACAGGTGAATGAAGAATAGCCAAAACAGATGTTACTGGTACACGTGGGTAATATAACACAAGTTTCCTGGACTTGACAGAATATGTCTGCAAGAAAACGCAATCTTAAAACAAAGAAAATATGCCAATGAACCATGATAAATTGGGGAAGTATTCATTGCTTTCATTTTCTTGGCAGTGACATGTTTACCTGGAGTTGGCTAAATGTTCTAACCATGTCTGCCTTGCAGCCAAAAGCATTTCAGAGGTAGCTGGACAAAATGAAGAGTTCACCTAGGGGCTAACAGTTTTTTCCCTTGTGTGAAGTTAATAGGCCCAGGTGGATGTCAAAACCATTTTGACATTATGAATGCTGTGATTTAAAAAATGCAGCTGATAATTTCTGGGTTGAGCTATATAATGCTTGACACATGGAGTTGTATTATGACTTCTAGAGAAAGTATCTCACTGTGTACCTCATTCTAGAAAAAGTGAGACCAGAGTGCTCTGAGAATTTGGGGGATACAAAATAAAACAACAAAGCTTAGTCAGAACTTACATCAGGTCGGGGCGATACCTATGGATAATGGCACACAGGGCCAAGCCACTTTTCCACGACATGGTGAGATCTGTCACATTCACTCCGGCGTAGCCATCTGTCTGCCTTTGGCACCAACCCAAGAGTTTGCTCGAACGAGCTACAGATTCTAAAACAACAACAACAAATATTTCTGGAAGTGTGGTCACCTGGTAACACTGACCAGATCCTCTTTGTAGTGCACATATCCAGTTTGAGAAGTGACTGAACAGAGGATATGGATTAAACAGCCATTACTAGTTTTTAAAAGAAAGGAACAAGGAATGAGGAATATAGTTATATAAATGGTATCATGATGGTGGAATTTCATATAGATAAGAAACTACCAAGTTATCCAGATTCTGAGGTCAGTGTCCATCCCCTAACAGGCTGCTAAGTCACATACAGAGCAATCCAGACCTATTCATGCTGGACCTAGTACTCTCCTAGGTACTGCTGGAAACTGAAAGAAACAAAAGAGTGCCACCTGCTGAGCTGTCATCCTTAGTGGCTGCAGTTCTAGGAGTTTCCTGGGGAGCCACTTGGGCAGCTGGCTGAGGAAGCCTTGTCCCTACAAAGTAACACTGGGGAGACGAGATGAGAAAGGTTCATTCTATCCAGCAGCACATCAGGCCAAAAGCAAACAAAACCTTGCTCTTATGCTTTCCAAGGTTCCAAGCAATTTGCCAAGTGGAGAAACTCTGCAGGGCTATAATGCCAAGAAAGCCAAGGACTCTGGACCATGTGTGGCTCCCTATGTTACAAGTTACCACTTCTGGAAAAACTGAATAGGCAAATATATATACTTAAAGGTTTTTCTGTTCATTGAAATATCGTCTAAAATCCAAACAGCCTCCATAAAATCCCTTTGTTTTAATCACATCAAAAGCTCTTATGGAGCATTTGAAAGAATCTGTAAACTCCTATTTATGTTTAAGAAAAGAGTTTTACCTTACTAAGATAGCTGAAAATATTTAGCTTGTACTCAATCAGGCTAAATACAGTTTTCATTTAAGTCATTCACAGGGAAAATGTATTCTTTTTTTTTTTTTTTTTTTTTATCACAGGCAGAGTGGACAGTGAGAGAGACAGAGAGAAAGGTCTTCCCTTGCCGTTGGTTCGCCCTCCAATGGCCAGCGCGCTGCGGCCAGCGCACCACGCTGATCCGATGGCAGGAGCCAGGTACTTCTCCTGGTCTCCCATGGGGTGCAGGGCCCAAGCACTTGGGCCATCCTCCACTGCACTCCCTGGCCACAGCGGAGAGCTGGCCTGAAAGAGGGGCAACCGGGACAGAATCTGGCGCCCCGACCTGGACTAGAACCCGGTGTGCCGGCGCTGCGAGGCGGAGGATTAGCCTAGTGAGCCGTGGCGCCGGCCGGAAAATGTATTCCAAAGCTACACACAGAGCTACTCCAACTCTTGGCTCAGAGACTAATTTTATTCAGATGCCTCCTGAGTCCGTCCATCCGTCCATCCATCCATCCATCCATCATTATGCACTGGGCAACTTCAATCTTTCAGGCTCTGAAATAATAGTTACTAGATATGCCGTCTCTACTTTCAAGAAAGTGACAGCTCAGCTGAGAAAACAAAGATGTTTCCAACTGCCTGTGGCTCCTCACACCCACTCTGAGAGCCACAGCATGCTTACTTCAAAACGTCCAAACAGAACTTAGACCATCTCACTGCCCCATTTCTTTTTTTGGACTGATATAGCTCCATCCACTAAGACCTATCTCTTGCCCCAAAGGGCAATCAATGGCCAATGCCTATGGATTTTGGCTCAATATTCTCTCTCACATAACTAGTAATGGCAGTGACAAAGTGTTTGTCATTCTGACCATTCACTGCATGCCAGGCAGCATAATGAGCACATGAGCACACTATACATGTCACAGAATCCTCATGCTCTGTGGAAGGTAGGCATTGCTACTGTCACTTCACAGACAAAGAAAACAAAGCTCAGAGATGCTCAATAACCTGCTGAGGGCTACACACTTCACAAGCAGCAGAGCCTGGAGTGGGACCTGGCCCCACCTTACCCCAAACTCCAAGTCCCTCTAACTATGCTCTGTTATCTACTCCTCTTGCCATCCAGCACTAGTGCCAGATTTAGGCCTTAACCACCTGTAGCTGAACTACCTAACTGGTTTCCTGCCTTTGGCATTTCCTTCTCCAGTCCATCTTACAGGGAGCTGACTGAGGGTATTCAACGCCACTCTTCCTTCATAAAAATCCTCAGGGATTCCTCAAGACATGCAAAATATGCAACAACTTTTTACCATATCCTTGCAATGTCATAGGAGCAAGGTATGCCACTACTTTTTCCATAAAATCTTCCCCAAAACCTTAGTATACTCTCTCTCTTCTCCCAACTCCAGCACCCATATACATATGTGATTTATCTCCATATTCCCAACTTTTTGTTGTGGGGACCAGTCTAGGGCATTGTCAGAGGTTTAGCGGCATCCTCCCCTTGTCAGGATGAAAATGTCCTTAGAGTAAAAACTGCCTCAGTCAGTTCTACACATGTGTAACAGCTCAGTGCATGAGAACAGGCTTCTCTGAGTAGGTTACCAGCACTAAACAAGGTCATCACCAGAACTTACCATTGCGAGTCAACTTTGGAGTGGTTCGGGAATTCACCAGGTTCTCCATTTCCAGATGAATATCTTTCATTTCTCCAGTGTCATATAAATGGCGTACCTGGCAGAAAGTGAAAAAGAAGGCAGATAAACACCAAGTAACAAAAGACCCCAAGACCAGAAGGACTAAGGTAAAAGACTGAGAAAGCAGTCTGGGTGAAGATTATGCAGAAGTTATGATGATGATGGCCTTTAAATTCTGTAAGGATGAGGTAAGGTTATAGAGAAACAGAGAAGAGTGTACAGTAATGCAGGCCCCTGTAATAGCCTCTGTTGACCATCGTTGCCCATTAACTGCAGAATATGGACTCTTCAGAAACTCAACCACACCTACATACAAAAGGCTTAATTGTGCAAATTTCAGACAAAAGAAGGATAAAATTATTAAATAATAATATAGACAAATACTCATATATCAAAGAGATTGCCATGTAAAAACTTTTGAACTCAGAATTATTACTGTAAGATTAATTCTTACTGTAAGATCATTCTCAGTAATAACATCTTATACTTAAGAGAGGGTTTTCATCTTTCAAAGTTCTTCCAAGTGCCCTCAGAATGATACTTTGAGTAGACAGGAATGATCGTCTCCATTTTTCAAGTGAAAAATGGAAGTTCTGGGGCTGGTGCTATGGCACAGATTAAGCCACTGTCTGTGGTGTTGGCATCCCATATAGGCACTAATTTGAGTCCCAGCAGCTCCACTTCCAAACCAGCTCCTTGCTAATGCACCTGGGAAAGCAGTGGAAGATGGCCCAAGTGCATGGGCCCATGCAACCATGTGGGAGACCCAGATGAAACTCCTGGCTCCTTCTGGGGAGTGAACCACTGAATGGAAGACATCTCTCCCTCCCTCTCTCTCCTTTTCAAATAAATCTTTTTAAAACAAAACAAACAAAAAACCCTGAAGTTCTGAAAAAGTGAAATGCAGGTTTTCAGGTCACAAATGTGAGTGCCAGTAACACGAAGGGAAGCCATGTCTCTGATGACTGAACAAGCATTCTTCCCTACAATATGCAGTTTGAATTAAGAGCCTGGGACAAAGTCCTGGAGCTACTGTCTTTGTCATGTTTGATATTCGTTCTGTAAGTCACCTAATGCCTCCATGCCGTAGCAGCTGACCTGTGGATGGAGAATGACACCCACTTCCGCCAATTCAGAGCAACAGCTAACTGATCACTAAAAGTGTGTTTATGTTTGGTATTAGCAGCAAACATGGCTATATACACTTCAGTATATCAGAGTTCTGATCAGTCATGAGAATGGGTCCATATGTACTGGAAGGTTCTTACCTGGCTTGGTCGGAGGAAGTTGACATTAATATTAGGATACCTAGTAACAGGGTCGATACTATATTTGCTGAAGTTTTTGCTCACATTCTCAGGGGTGGTCTGGGGCAGTAATCTGTAGATGCTTTCCCTGCAACAACAAACAATGATCTACTCAGCACACTGACAAGTACCTGAAACACCTCTCTTCCTCTTTATAATATTTCTATTTTTTGAGAGTCCACCAAATCACAAATCCCCATCCTCCATCAGTTTCCTCCAACCCCATCTCAGTCCTTGCTTCTCACACCTAGCACCTTGGTGACTCCACAAGCACTGGACTAGCTAAACACAAAGGAGAAGACCAGGCATAATGTTTGTGGGCAGTCACAAATGCCTGACATCTTTCAAGATGATCAATTTACTGTTTTGCTTTTATTTTTTTCAAGAATGCCAATTAGTTTCTAAGAAAACTACAGATGGAGAGGGCTGGCATTGTTGTGCAGTGGGTTAAACCACTGATTGGGACACCTACATCCATACTGGAGTGGCAGTTCAAGTCCTAGGTACTCTGTTTCTGACCCAGCTTCCTGCTAATGTGCCTGGGGAAGGCAGCAGAAGATGGTCCAAGTGGTAGCCAGCATTGTGGTGTAGCAAGTAAAGCTGCCGCCCGTGACACTGGCATCCTATATGGGTGCCAGTTCATATTCCCGGCTGCTCCACTTCTGATCCAGCTTCCTGCTAATGGCCTTGGGAAAGCAGTGGAAGATGACTCAACTGTTTGGGCCCCTGCCATCCATATGGGAGACCTAGATGAAGCTCGTGGCTCCTGGCTTTGGCCCTTGCCTCCACTGGCTGGTGGAGGCATTTGGGGGAGTAAACTAGGGAATGGGAGATCTGTCTGTGTCTTCCTGCCTTTCTAATAAATTAAATTTTTTAAAAGGACATCAAATCACAGATTAACAAAGAACCTGACACTGTATTTATCCAGAATACTTTAAGCAACAGATTTAAAGTGGTAAAATGATATTGATTACCAATTTCATCCAGAAAATTTTCTCTCTTTAGTTCCTCTAGTCAAGGCATTGGCCCTTTATCAGCAAGCAAATCCTAGGATTTTTACCTCAGTTGCAAAAACCTGGTTGAAAATATCTGACATATATGAGTTAGAAAAACATTTATAAGCAATTTGATGTTTGCCATTTAATTCTATCACTTTTAATTTCTTCTCTTCTTTCATTAGTTTAAGTCTTGCTGGTTTAAAGACAAGAGGATCTAATTTACTATTTCAAAGTATTTGTTCCTACAACTGTCATAAAGGAATCAATGGTCTACAAAGATTCAGATACCATTTGTCAATTCAATTTGGAAAGGGATAAGAGAAGAGCAGGTGGATTAGATAATCTTGAATTTTCTATGATTTTATGAAATAGTCTTAATAAAGACAGGACTAAAGAAGGAAGGAAGGGGGGGACTTGTGTTTTGCCTACAGAGTAAATCACCACTTTCTCACAGATCCTTCGTGGAAAAAAGGCAGGGTCACTTCCTATTACCTCTCTGCCAGGACTTCCAAGGGACTTGTTCCTAGAGACCAACTTCGTACCATCCAGGCAGAGTCCATAGCAGCTAGAAAGCCCCGGGCTATTCCTGTTCCCATTGGCCAGAAAGGCTATGAAGAAGACAGAAGACAAAGAATTAAAATGAATCCCCTTTGAAAGAGGGAAACTAAACTGAGGAACTAAGAAGGAGCTTGCCGTTGACAGTACTGTTCAGCGACTGCTCAGACACCAGACTCCTGTACTTCACAAACCCACACAGGGGCAGGCACAAAGAGCCACAGCGCTCCCACCCACACCTGGCAAGTCAGGGTTCCCAGTGTCCTGTAATCCACCCTGCATGCTGGTGGGTACAGCTCCGTGAGGAGGTTCCCCATGCTTTGCAATGCTGAAGATGCTTCCTCCACAATGGGAACACCGAGATTCAGTCCTGATGTGGCTCCTTGCCACTGCCTCGCCATCAAGTGCTGCCACCCTTCTCACTCACCTCCAGGAGGCTATCCCCAACCAGAGCCACTAGAAGCTGGTGTCCGTTGTGCTCCCGCACCAAGGCAGCATTCTCGGAGGCATACATGCAAGTGAAGTCAAACATGGCCACGTCAGGCTGCCCGTAGTGATTGATGGCGAAATCCAAAGAGGGCAGCTGCTGCTGTGTGGAGAAGTCCGCTGCCTCCCTGGCGTAGTTCAACAGAGCCTCTTGGTCCACGTTCTCCCGGGAAAGCAAGAGCTCTGTATCAGCGTAGTCCTGTCTCCAGAGAGGGGAGAGGCTCAAGATGGAACAGCCTAGGCGCGGATTGACAGGCTTAGCCAGCCAGAGCCATGCTGCATGTGCCAGACAGAACCTCATCTCTCAGCTTTTCTTTCCCCCAAAGCAGTTTCACCCTCCCAAGCTTCATCTATTTCACAAACTAAAAAGGGAACTGGAGGTGGGGGCTGTTTCTAAGGTAGTAAAGACTCTGCCCCCAAAAATACAGTCTTGGCTTTTCCATTCTCTTGGAGCAAGGCACACCACTCTGAACCCATCCAATCTGCCTCAATGAGTTGTTCCAGGTATCAAATATAATAATTTATATGATGGTACCGTTTAAGCTGTAAAAGCATTTTGTAGTCTATGTTATCTTCCACAATATCTTCTGGGTAGCAAGTAGCTTTTGGCAACTGGTGGGGTGGGGGTGGGAGGGCACATGAAACACTCAGCTGTGCACAATTTGTCATCTCCAAAGGAAGAACTCAAAAGCCTTAGAGCAAAGAAGATGTGGAGGTAGAAGCAACAGTGGTCCAAGAGGCTGAGGAGGAACATGGGCCAGAGGTGTTCAGAACAACACATAACGTTCTCAAAGGCTCTATGGAAACCCACTGACACAAGCAATGACAGTGCTTTCCACATACTGGGAGTCTTCAAAAAAGTTCATGGAAATGCATACTATGAAAAAACTATGTTCAGATTTCAAAACTGTCTTGCACCAAAACAAACTTACTGTTTTAACTTCATTTTTCCAAGAACTTTTTGAAGAACCCTCATAAAGGAATGAAAAATCCCTTTTTTGCCTTGAAAGTTCCTGGCATACTAAGCCAAGTTCTTTATTCTCCTCAAGTGGGACCCATGGTTTCTGAGTGCCTCTGATGATGCTTTGAGCTACCACTACAAGATGTTAAACACCAAGCACTCAAGTTGATTGTGAAAATAGTGTTTGTTCAGCACTGAGTAAGTAGTTACAATGGGTTTAGTTTTAGAAGCACACACAGGAGACTTGGTTCCTGCCTTCCACAAAAATAAAAAGGCAGAATAAATCAGGTCTTGGCATTCTGGACTCTTCCCATCTAATTGCAACTGACAACCATGGTTCCACCTAGACAGCACACTGTACTTATCACGGCCATTTCTTACTTATGGGAAAATAACAGCCCCAGATAATCAACAAGCTCATTTTCTAAAGCATTGAACCAACACCTCTTGGGTAGAATGGTTGCTTCTCTGCACACACACAGGACCTCTATGTGAGAAACAGACACGCAGTTCTTGGGCAAAAGGAGTCTCTGTGCTGCAGGCACGTGCTCATCACTTGCTCTCCACTCTGCTCTCAGATAAGGCAGTGGTGTAATTCAGACTCACACGACTTGACTCATTCCCATCCTGCAGAGACAAGGACTCCCTGACATTCAGCCATGAGTCTCTGGTGGGAACTGTACCAGCCTAAATCAGGTCATCTAATACCTCTTTGCCTCTATCCTCATTACAAGGGGACAGTGATTCTTATGTTTAAACCAATGAAACCTAACAAGAAAGGCTCCTTAAGTAACTCTGCCCTGTGGTTCTGAGCTCAGATCCTCATCTCAGGGTATACAATGAACTCAAAAAAAGGCTAAACTGGCCCTGACATTAAGTCCTTGCTGTTCTGTTATAAAAAGGCCTATATATCTTGACCTAGACCATGCTGTCTGGACTTCTGACAACTTTTTCCATTGTAAAACCAGAACTACTGCCAGGCTCCCACAAACACCAGTTACTTCTTGGACAAATCCCCTTCCTCTATGATCTATTAACAAACCAATTCCCAGTTATATATGGAATGCATTATAATCAAAATCAAACAACCCAGTATTAAACTGAACATTTATGCATAGGATGATATCTGAGACTTACTTTCATACAGTTCAATGGTGGAACGGGAGAATGGGCTGGGGACTGTTGCTGTAGCGTAGCAGGTCAAGCCACCTGCAGTGCCAGCATCCATATGGGCGCCGGTTCTAGACCTGGCTGCTCCACTTCTGATCTAGCTCTCTGCTACAGCCTGAGAAAGCAGTAGAAGGCCCAAGACCTTGGGCCCCTGTACGCACGTGGGAGACCCAGAAGAAGCTCCTGACTCCTGGTTTTAGATTGTGCAGCCCCGGCCATTGTGGCCAACTGGGGAGTGAACCAGTGGAGGGAAGACCTTTCTTGCTCTGTCTCTCCTTCTCTTTCTGTGTAACTCTTTCAAATAAATAAATAAATCTTAAAAAAAAAAAAAACAACACACACACACTGGCTATGTGTTGATAGTTGTTAAAGCTAGATGATGGGCACAAGAGAGATCACTCTATTATTCTCTCTACTTTTGTATATACTTGCAATTTTCCTTAATAAAAAATTTTTACAGTTAAACTAAAAATATCAGGGATTCTATTCTCAGGTAATACCTCCAGTGCTCATTTTCAATTCCATCCATTAAAATCCCATCAGAAAATAAAATTCTTTCTCTTGGTAATCATATTAAACGGTTCAATAAGAAAGAGGTTTGAAAGAAAGCTGTTGCTCACATGCAAGATCACGCCTTTCTCCAGTAAACTCTGTTTTTTGGCTGTCATTACGAAATAGTGTGTGTCATCCTTATAGTAGACGATGTTCTCCAAATCAATACCTGAGAAGAAAACAACCAAACAGGCACAGATAAGGGTCTGCTGAGGGTAGGGCACAAGGACAGCCAGAATGGTTGTTCATGGATCTACAGAGACAAGGACTGCAAAACTCCAGCTAAGGAAAGATGCCTAAATCCAGATTCTTACTTACTGCACATGTAGTTCATGAAAATTGGGGATTGTTGCTTCTTGTCGTATCGTTCTAGGATTCGTTCAGTATCCTAAGTTATCCTAAACAATGAATGATGATAAAAGGAAGGGGTGGGCATTTGACCTAGAGATTAAGACATCATTTAGGATGTCTGCCTCCCATATTGGAGTGCCAGGTTTGAATCTTAGCTCTGCTCTCCATTCCAGCTTCCTGGGAGGTTGCAGATAATGGTTCAAGTACTTGAGTCCCTGTTACCCGCGTGAGGGACCTAGACTGAGTTCTCAGCTCCTGGCTTTGTCCTGGCCTAGCCCTGGATATTACGAGCATTTGGGGTGTGTACAAACAGATGGGAGACATCTATATCTCTCTTTGCCTTTCAAATAAATAAAATAAATAATGATAAATTGAAAAAATTCGAAAATAAATATAAATATGGGAAAACAAAAATGACGAAGAAAGAAATGAGAGAGAGAGAGAATGAGAGAAGAGAGGAGAGAAGAGGAGAGGAAAAGAGAGGAGAGATAGGGAAGGGGAGGATTGGGGAGGGGAGGGAGAAAGACTAGCTTTATAAGAGGGTTTGGGTTATCATGTTAAACCTCTCTGGTGGTCATTAAGGAAGATGGAGGAACCTCCCAGAATCTTAAGAACAGGATAGTGCCTGGAAGTAGATACTGAACTATTTAATTTTTAATTTGAGTAATCTAAAAATAAATGAAATAGTAGTCATGTTCAAGAAAACAGAAAATGAAGGCACCTTTATGTTGCAGAAAATTATCTGAGTTAATCTATTCAAAAGCTATCACAGAACAGTCTCACTCTGATCTAGCACATGGTTTGCTTTCAGTCCAAACTAGCACTTGGAAAAAGACCTCATACTTAATACCTAAAGTCAGGTTCTCAATAAAATCAGGAACTACCCATCAGCAGCCAGGTACACTGAGTACCCTGACTTAGCAGAGGAGTAGGGTTTGGTAAGAGTTGGTTGCAGAATTATTACTTTAAAGCAAATCAATACAAGAGAACAAAACCCAGAGCTTCCTGTCATTGTGAGGATTTAGAATAGTGGAGAAGTCCAGTGATGGGAAGCAACAGCCAAGAACAAAGAATGGGAGGACAGACTCCACAGCAATGTCACTGGACTTCTCCAGGATTCTAAATCTTCCTCAGCGATTGATGGATCTGGGTGTTGCTTCTCTTTATTGATTTGTTTCAAAATATTAATTTGCCTTCTACCAACTCTTTCCAAATTGCTACCCACCCTTCAGACCCCAGGGAGAAAGTCACCAGTACTGCTTTGGCAGCCTCTTTACTGACCTGTAGCTTCTCTCAGTTCCTGGAAAAACTTCTGGTTGAATATAAAAGCCACACCACTGATCTCTTCCACTTTGGCTTCTGCTGTTGTATTTCGGTTAATAAAATTTGCAGTAATGGCAATGGCCAGTTTGCCACGAAACTCTTTCCGACGAAATCCTGGAGGAAAAGAAATTTCCAGAGGTGGCAATAGTTGGCTAGAGAAGAAGGAAGATCACTTTAATTGAGGGAGTGTGTGTTGATAAAGACATCAGGGAAATTATAGAACCGGAATAAATGAGAAAATTTTAGGCCAGCTCTTCTCTATCTGAAAATAAGTTGTTTACCTGCCAAACAACATAACCAAAACCTGACCAACCTTTTCAAAAACAGAATCCCTGTGTATGTGTGTTAGTGGGGAGGGGAGGATGGAATCCTTTTTAGATGCAGATTAAATCCTGCAGGGTCACCGCTAAAAGTATAGCTCATCCTTGAATTAGCTATACTGACATGAATGCCTTGTAAGATGTGATCCAAGTACACCGTGTCAAGAGGAAGGCTGGGCCTATCAATTAGAATATGGAGCACACATGCAGATTCTTAGGAATATGGACTCTGATGACAAAAATCTTACCTCAGGGTAGAAAAGGATAGGCTTTCACTCTGCTATGAACAAGACAAAGGACCCTAGATCAATACCTTCCAAGGTGTTCCTGCGGCCATCCCCACCGATGATCACTTCAAATTCATACTCTGATACAGGATGAGTTTTGGGGTGTACCAGTGCCCTCCAACCTATCCCTGTGGACCAAAGGCAAGGTCTTCATCATAGTGACACATCCATACCCAGGCATACAGACTACACAGAACCCTGAACCCAAAACAACATGTGTAACATGGGGTTCAAACCACAGAAAGTAAGAAGCTTTGAAGAGGGCTCACAAAGCAACCTCTCAACCACAGAATTTTCTATAGTATAAGTGCTGGCAATGCTATTACTACATCAAAGGCCTCTTCATGAAGCCAAAAGTCCATGAAGACACAGGCTATACATATGGAGAAGCCCTTTAACTTACAGAAAATGATTTATAGGTTCCTCTAGTTTTCTCCTTGAGCTCATCCTTTCTCACCAATCCAATGCCCTTTAATGCCTTCATTTGTCCAATACAACTTACGTTCATTCTCTTGATCCTCGGGAGGCTGCACAAGTCCTTGGAATTCCACATTGACATGTATTTCAATGCCTAGGATCAAGGCTACTTTCAAGAGTATTAGTTGGAGCTGACGGATACCTAGGTGAATACAAAGATTATGTTGGGGAAACTATACTGGGAAAAGAGTCACCAGCAGCAGTTTCCTACTCATGGTCCACCCATCCACTTATGCATAGTTTATTCAGATTTCCAATGCCTTTTGCAGCAGGAGATATTTTCCAAGCCATGCTCCATAACTTCTTTCTTTCTTTTTCTAAGAGTAAATATATTTTACTGGAAGAACTCTTCTAGAAAGATACACAAGGCAACTGCACCTCTTAGGTTAGTTGTTCTAAACAATTAAAAGCTCTGAGACAATGCAGGATCATGGCCAACAGGAGACTTTCCTTCCCACTTCCCTGGTCTACGGCCATACCACCCCGAACTCGCCTGATCCCATCTTCCCCTGATGCAGTCAGAGCTACCATTACTAGCAGCATCTACAATCCAGATAGGATATGGTACTCACCAAGGGAGATGGATGATGTGCACCCACAGTTTGATGCAGAGTTTCTGCACTACTTCTGATATGCATACAGCATCTCTCTTTCATCCCATTCCACCTCATTGATCTCCATACATTTGTATGAGATGAGGAAGGAAAATCACAGTCCAACTGTACACTCTCACAACTCCCTCTCTCATCCTTAGTCTACAGTTGTGGAGACTAAGGTCCAAAACGACTGAAAATCTTGCTCATTATACCAATGAGATTTATTCACTGAGTACTGACTAGTGCCAAACAGGGCTTCCATAGCAAGTATACAGAGACAAAAATCTAGTCCCTGATCTAAGATTCTCAATCCCAAGATAAATTCTGCCATACATAAGGCATAAAAATCCACTGAATTCATGACCCTTGATCTTCTCGAGACCAAACATACCTGCAGTCTGTGACTAATCTGCTAGAAGCACATGCTAATCCTCCTCTGGGTGATCTTGGTTATTTTCCCCAGTTTACCACAACCACCACCCTTCTGAGTCACACTCCCAAGACGCATTAAATCCCGTGCTAGCACGCATTTTATTTTTGCAGACAACTGTGGGTTCCAAGATGCTTTGCAAATTACAGCCCAACAAACGAGTAGAGTGCTTTCTCCTCCAGTGGAATGTGGCAGCTGTCGGCCAACGTTTGATAAACTGGCACAACCGCTTCAGTGAAATGTTCAGTGACTGAATGTATTTACAGGATACATCTGGAGGAGCTCGGAACAAAGGTTCCTTGATAAAGCTTCCCGGGAATCATTAATGATAATACAAAAAGATTTCAATTTCAAAACACAGACACTGTTTATTTTGAACTGCTTTTCAGATAGATAGGTCTCTTACAGTCACAAAAACATTACTAACTATAATAACTTGTATTCATCCTGTGGGGTTCAGAAAAGCACAGGCCCAAGATGAGCCTGGAGATGTCAAGAGTATGCCAAGAGTTATTTGGCTGTGGACTTCATGAGAGTCACCTAACCAAAGGAACCCCACTATCGACTTTTTATCGACATTTGTGACCACCTAGGATTCTGCTTCTTCTTTAAGTGTGGTTTACCCAGCCCTGTATCTCCAGAGTACTTGTTCTTTATTAGGAAAGTGTATCAGATCACATTACAGAGAGCCATATACCTGGGTCCTAGTTCCACTGGACTAAACATCACCAAGGAGTTGAAGCCCGTATTAGTGATGCTTCCCACAGCATGGCTCCAGCACCTGCCCCACACACTGCCAGTGCTCAGTAAAAGTCCAAGATCTAACTTAGAAATGTTTAGGTCAAATTCTTTACTTCCAGGAGATGCACTTGCAGATAACAATCCTAGATTCCAAACCCACCACATAACAGCTATTCTGACTACAAGCAGAGTCTGCTTGCTACAAAATAGATCCTGAAATGATAAGAGCCAACTGGGCTGTCGATTATGAATTCCACAGATAATCTACTTGTCCTTCGACTTGACAAGCAGATGAGGGTAGGGATGAAATCCTACAAGAGAACTGGCTTTACTTACTGATATGGTCGATGGCTCCAGCACAGAATTTGCCATAAAACTTCTTGGCACCCAGACCTCGCAGATCATGTATGGTGAATGGCCAGAGATGCAAGACATTGTTGCGGGAGAACGCATCCCGTTTCTCAATAACGACCACCTTGGCTCCCAATAAAGATAAGTCAATGGCTGTCCGTAGACCACAGGGGCCAGCTCCAATGATGAGACACTAAAAAACACAGCTGCTTGTTCAGGGCAATGGCAGCATCTTCTGAGAAACATTTCTAGAGAAGTTTCATGATCTCATAACCATCATTCCCTAAAACCTCCAGTGGGGCTACTTTCCCTCTACCAAGAAACTTTCAAACATATTTGGGTCACAACAGAATATCCAGAGTGGACTGAATGAAGAGACAGTGACTGCCATGGACAAAGAAGCCCGTCTTGTCAATAGTAGACATAAATGGAATACATGATCACTTTGGAGAGCCTGTAACACCTGCAATATATTTAAGTGGGTCACCTTTTCAACAAATGACATAAAAATCACATCTAATCTTCCATCAACAGAAGGTTTAGGGGAAAGTTTCTAAGGAGACAGATATTACCTACATAGTCTAGGCAACCTTACAGTGCTGAAAAGGGTCTACTGTTTATTTGGCAACTATCAAGAGCCAAAGTTTTAAGTATTGTAAACAGTTCAAAAATCACCATTCCCAGATTGAAAGTCCAGGAAAGCAATCTTAAAAATCTATACTCCAGAGAAGAACTAATGGGAAGACTGGACACTTAATTACTTTATATGTATAGAAGGAACCACACAAGGGTTTTGGCTTTGCATTCCTTTTGTTCTCAAGAGAAGTCTGGTATTCATTCACAAAAGTCATGCTTTCACATTTCCTAAATTTTGTTGATGAGTATCTACCTCAATGCAAATCCACTGGGAGTGGGTCTTCAGGTATCCACACAGTGCAAATTAAACATGGTGAAAAGACAAAATAAGTCATTTGCAAATTTATGCCTCTGCTAGCTTTTTCCAAACTTCTCACAGAAAGTGTTCTCATAATGAAAGAATCAGGAAATGTATCTTTCCTTCTCCACCTCCTTACATCTACTCCCCCACAGACGACTATACGTCAGGATTTTGTCGAAGCTTACCTGCTTCATGGAAACTTTATTTCCATACATTTTTAGAAAAAGATTTATTTTATTTATTTGAAAGACAGAGAGAGAGTGAGAGAGTGTGTGTGAGAGAGAGAGGTCTTCTATATGCTAGTTCACTCCCCAAATAGCAGCAATGACCAGCTGGCCCCTATTCCTATAAATTTTGAAGACAGTAGCAGAAGCACTTCATTCAAAAGCCCTTGCGAGAGAGAACTTCTACTTTGATTATGGCCCTGTCTAAATAATGTCGGAGTTTGTGGACTCAGGAGGCTTCCATAGCCTTGCCAGCTCATGACAAGAGCCTCGGGTGACCACTGACATCATAAATAAGAGTGTCGATTGTTAAATCAACAACAGGAGTCACTGTGCACTTGCTCCCAATGTAGGACCTCTGTCCTTAATGAGTTGTACTATGAGAATTAATGGTAAAACTAGTCTTCAAACAGTACTTTATACTTTGATTATCTGTATGGGTACAAACTATTGAAATCTCTACTTAGTATAGAGATCTTCTGTATATACAGATAACTATAACTGAATCTTAATGAAGAAGAATGGGATGGGAGAGGGAGTAGAAGGTGGGAAAGGAGTTGGGGTGGGAGGATGGGTATAGAGGGAAGAACCGCTATAATCCAAAAGCTGTATCTATGAAATTTTTATTAGATAAAAGCTTTCTTTTTTTAAAAAAAAAATAAAGCCCTTGCTTGGGGCTGGCACTGTGGCATAGTAGGTAAAGCCGCCGCCTGCAGTGCTGGCATACTACAAGGGTCACAGTTCAAGTCCCAGCTCCCTCTACTTCTGATCCAGCTCTTTGTTAACGTGCCTGGGAAAGCAGAGGAAAATAGTCCAAGTGCTTGGGCCCCTGCATGCATGTGGGAGAGACCTGGAAGAAGCTCCTGGCTCCTGGCTTTGGATTGGCCCAGCTCTGTCCATTACAGCCATTTGGGGAGTGAACCAGAGGATGGAAGATTTCACTCTCTCTTTCTCTCTGCCTCTCCTTCTCTGTAACTCTGACTTTTAAATAAATAAATAAGTCTTTTTTAAAAGTGACTATTATATGAATCAAAATAGACTTTTGGAATAGAGATGGGAACAAGTCTAAAGCTTGGGGAAAATCTTCAAATTGGCAAATACCACACCTGATCAGTTACTGAGAATGGAATGATGACTGTAAATCTGACATGCCAGGAACCACAAAGCCATGTTCACAGGATGTTAAATGGGCTTGGCTACTTCCGGTTAAGTGACACCTGTATCTTAACAATGTGAGGTTCAATGGAAGTTAGCAAAATAAAACATTCTATCTGCCTGACTTCAGGGTTGTTTTTTAAATAGTTGAAGCTTTGAATTTTAGTATGTAAAAATATGAAATATGCTTAAACTAGAATCTGGATCATGGAACAAACGAACACAGGTAATGAATCCACAAAGTTTTGACAAGGCAGAAGCTTATCGTCCACATTAGACTGTAGGTAGACTCGATCTGGCTCTCACTCAGTAACCTCTACTTAACCCTCTCTTTAGGATCTGGTTGAAGTTTCATATCAGTGACCCCTGGGCCATAGAGCAGCCAAACACTTACCTTGGTGTTAGTACACGCCTTTCCCTTTTTGTAGTCCTTGTGACTGCCCCGTTTGTCCAGCTTTGCCCAGAGGGCTTTGGCTTTCCAGTAGTTAAGCTTGGACTTGAGCCTGTGATAGAAGGAGCGATAGTCCTTGGGCTTCAGTTCCAGGTGGTCACAGAGCTCTTGGAAGGCCTTGAGAGTTCCCTTGCAGGTGGTGGCTTGGACAAACCGGTCAAAGAGAACATGAGCTTGGTTCATTGTCTCATGCTTCCTCTCTTCCATGCTTATCCACTCTCAGCACCTCCCCACAGAGGGGGCAGGGTGATGGCTACTGGTCCACCCGACTCTGTCACATTAATCTAACAAAAAGACAGAAAAAGACATGGTTAGCATTTCTGTGCCTACACATATGTTTCCAAAGACATATTCTTTCCCAAAGTAGAGTTTCCAGGTGTTAACATTCATTGGTTCAACAAATGTGTACTTCGGGACTCCAGGCTCAATCCAAGACTGCAGATGGAAAGGTGAGCAAGACAGTTCTTTGTTTTGAAAGGTCTCACAATCTAGTTGATAAGACCATAAACAAAATGCTACAATGTAGTCAACTAAGTACCACTGGAGAAAGGGGAATAAGAGATTTGGGGAATACACAAGAAAAGAACCTAAATAACAGGGAGGTGGAGTCCTTACAGAAGATGAAATCTCCAGCAGGTGACAGTTGAGTGTTCCAGGAAAAGAGTCAGTCAGGCAGGGAAGAAGTGGATGATATGGGAAAAGAAGTAAAACAGGCAGTCCTACGAGTGACTCACAGATTAAGGAGTCAAGAATAATGCCCAGGCATCCAACTTAGGCCATTGAGTAAATGGTGACAGAGGTTAACAGATTAAGACTAGGGGCATTCTTCAGTGAGGGTGGGATGACAAGTTCTCCTTTCTGCCTGTTACATATGAGCTCTTTGGGTCCTAGCTTGAGGTCTGCACCGAACTAGTATGAATCTGAAGTTCAGGAGGAGGGGCTAGGGACACAGACTCAGATCTGAGAGTTATTAGCATACAGGTGGTGGCTGAACCTATGAAAGCTGGTACAATAATACAAGGAGAGCCATGAGGAGAGAAAAGCCATAGGCTGTGGCTGAGATCTGAAGCAGAAACCTCTAAAAGGCTGGCAGAGGACAATGAGCCCTCTAAAAATGTTCTGAGCAAAAACAGAGGGCGGCCTGAAGAGAATTGAAGGGCAGGCTAAGGAACAGAGGATTCAGAAATGTAAAAGTCAGCAAGAATCTAAAGGACTCAAAAAGCCATGTCACTGAGTGTGGTACATGGAAGGGTGGGGCGATTGATTAGCCACTCCACTTTACCCACAGTCATATCTTGCAGTAATAAGGATGATGTCTTCACCTTCCACTTTTCATAAACATCCATACAACTGCCCTCCTGGATGCTGCAGGCTAGAGGCCCAAAGATTGGCGATGGCATGTTAGGTGTTCCATTATCCACTAACTCCCTGGCACCTATTTTACTACTTTTGTGACACATTTTATTCATCATCATTTTATTGATTATTGGGAGGTTGGAGGCAAAGGATCAAAGACTAAAACAAAGCCTCAGGAAGATGGGAGAAGTAGGACAGGGCAGTGCAACATGCATGACCCTGGTTCTGAGACTGTACATGCCAGTGGTTGCAAGACCCTGGATAAGTCACTTTGCCCCGTGAGGCTTTCCTTTTCTTGAGTAAGATGAGGAGGTTAGATTGATGATCTCAAAGTTCTCTTTCCATACTGAAGTTCTTGGGAGTGTAGTGTACTACACAATCACAGTCCTCATTCCCGATGCTCTGGTCAAAATTGTCCCTAATCACCCATGTACCACTGGTGTGAAAAGCATGACTCAACTAGAACTTTAAGAGGATTTATTCTCAGAGGTGGGGGGAGTTGGAGACAGGGAGTTATTGCTGGCTATGTTCAAGAGGGCTACATAAGCAAGAAGCTGACCAGTATTTAGTGAGAGCCGCCAAGTTGTAGGCACTGATGGAATCAGTTCTCAGAAGACAGGCACCAAGTTCAGAATGAGACAGAAGAGGTCCAGGGTTCTGTCATGAAGCCTTTACTATAGGTAAGTCACTGGGCAACAAAATCCCCCTCTGAGGAACAGAAACAACATTCTGCCTCTCTCCACATCTTAATACGGCAAGGTTATTCCAGGTCAACAGGAGATTTTTTTTTTAAGATTTATGTAATTATTTCAAAGCAGAGTTACAGAGCAAGAGAAGGGCAGATAGAGAGAGAAATAGAGAACTTTCATCTGCTGGTTCACCCTCAAAATGGCACCAATGACCAGGGCTGGGCAAGGCCAAAGCCAGGAATCTGGAGATTCTTCAAGGTCTCCCACGTGGGTGCAGGGGCCCCCAATGACTTGGACCATCCTCCGCTGCTTTGCCAGATGCATTAGCAGGGAGCTGGATTGGAAGTGGAGCATCTGAGACTTGAACCAGTGTCCATATGGGATGCCAGTGCTGCAGGCTGTGGCTTAACCAGCTGTGCCACAGCGTTAGTTTCTGGATATTGTCTTAACTTTCCCTACAGAAAGTAATGAATGGATACAAGGAACTGCCATTTACCTGTATGTTTTCTATGGCCACAGACATAGTACTCTTCATGTGCCATTGAGGACAAGTTGAAGATGATAATTCTCTACCTGAAATGCAGATTTGGATTCCTATCTCAAAAATGTCACTCAACAAACCCTCCTGGCCCTGAATATTACAAAATATACTGCTAATAAACATGGCTTATTCCAAAACCCATGTGGCCCAGAGTCCAGAAATAAAAATTAATTAGATCTAGCCTTCAGTTTCCCATAAAAGTTTATTCTAGGTAGCAGCCAAAAAATCTGTTCCTTTTCTTATAAGCCAAAGATGATCTTTGAAATGGTAGACAGTCAGAAGATAGTCCGAATGGGCAGAAAAAAACAAAATGTGCTTATCCAAAGGCAGAAGAAAGGTGACAGGTAACAACCAATGGCTAGAAACTAAAACCCAGAGCAATTGCTACATGAGTGGTCCTCTTTGCCTCTTGCTTGCTTTCTTCCTGTAACTTTATTTGCAATTTGGCAAGCAGACAGCATTGTGAACTCCTGACCCTGCATCACCTACTGGTGTTCATGGCCAACTTTAACTCCACCAGTGTCCCAATGTTTTGCAAGCTTAGAATATACCTGATCTGATCTCTCTATATATCATATCAAGGATGTGACACAGAGCCACTTTTTACCCCTTGCCAGGATTCAAAGCACTCTGAATCATGATGTTCTTGCTAAGCCAACACATGAAAAATCCCAAAACACTTATTTTCAAACCCATTTCCTTGGGCCAATGTTGTGATACAGCAAGTAGGTTAAGCTTCTGCCTGAAATGCCGGAATCCCATATGGGCACTGGTTTGAGACCTGGCTGTTCCACTTCCAATCTAGTTCCCTCCTAATGCACCTGGGAAAGTAGAGGAAGATGGCCCAAGTTCTTGGACCCCTGCACCCACATGGGAGACCTGGAAGAAGCTCTGGGCTCCTGGCTTCAAACTGGCCCAGCCCCAGCCATTGCGGCCATTTGGAGAGTGAACCAGAGAATGAAATCTCTCTCTCTCTCTTCTTCTCATTGTCTCTCTCTCTCTCCCTGTCCCTGTCCTTCCTCTCTCTGTAACTCTGCCTTTCAAGTAAAAAAATAAATCTTTTAAAAATTTAAAAAAAAAAAAAAAAAAAAAAAGCCTTTTCCCTGTCACAATGCCTGCCTTGTGCTTACCTCTCCCCCTAAAAGTTAGTCTCAGGAATTAATTTCCTAAGAATCCTGTCCTTCGGTTGGTTGTGGCCCTCTCTGTGTGAAATAAACACTCCCACCTTCATTAATAACTGGCCTGATCTTTTGCTTGTGCAAAACACTTTCCAATTAACAGGTATCAACCACAGTTCCTGGAGAGCTGCAGAGAGCCAGCAAGTCCTAAGTACCCAGACTACAGGGTTTTGACCTGCAGGGAATTAATGACAACAGATGAATACAGGCCAGTTGGTTCCTGGAACAATGTGACAGGCACCCATGGTAAGGCTACACAAGATGAATTCCCCCGGGTTGTCTCACTTTTCCTTCTTTGCAAGCCAAATGCTTGCAGCAGGAAGACAATTCCAGACTGTAACAGCATTATTCTGTGGCTCTGCTGGACTGGGACTGTGTCACTTTGCAAGGGGACTTACCCAGCACACTGAATCACACAGTACAATCAGAAAGAATGGCAGTCAAATGGCCATTCCTGTTACCACCTCCATTTCCCTCGTTCCTGAAGGTCAAAACTACATCATTCTCCTTCTGGCCTCTCCTGGATTACCCCTCTGTTCTGTTCTGTTCATCCCAGTATCTTGAGAAAATCAACTTTCATAATCACAGGAACCTAGAGATTAGGAAGCCTGGCCACAAGGTGCCAGGAAGCCTGGCAATGGAAACGCCACGGCATAGAAGTAAGAGGTAAGGGAAGTAAGAAGTGCTGGGAAGGAAGAGGAAGAGGAGGTGATGCCAGGTTTCCAGGGCACCCATGCCATTTCTGTCACTTGGCAATGCCCTGCATGTTTTGTCTCATGGCAGCTGACTGCTGACTCAGAAGCTTTGTGCATTCCTCGGCAGTGGAGGAACGTGCTTGGGAGACAGCCTATGAAGTGTACGCAGGAACAGAGTTCATGTTTCTATTTACAACAACAGAAAAAGACTTGTCACTGACTCATGACTGGTTATGACACTCAATCTCCAGCTCTTAGAATTGGTGGGCCAGTTGTTCAGGAGTGGGGTGGAGAGGAGAATTATCTTTAAAAATAGTAAAAGGAAAAAGAAAACACCAAAACTAGAATTACCCTTGATGAAAACAGGACCAAGGACAAGGTTAATTCTCTTAATACAGCAGCAGGCATAGTCTATGACATGCTCTTTCCCCAGCCTACCTGGAGGGTGACCTGTCTAATCAGATCCTGGGAGAGGTGTAGAGGAATGCCTGCTTGGGAACTGCCACTGGGAGGACACTTGGCTAAAAAATACACCTTCAGGTTATTGAAAAATCCCTGGTGTTTGACTTCAAAAACAAGGACTCAAATGACCAAAATGCCTTGGATTCCTGATCTGTCTTACTGTAACATAGAGACCAGAATGCTAGTGGATGAATCAGACATCGGCAAACAGGGTTCCCCATGGCCTCTAATGCTACTGAAACAGCTCTGAAGTAGTCCTCTGGGTATCAATGAAGCAAGCTCAAAAGACAATTAGGAAAGCAAGTTCTCTCATGTATCCTTTTCTTTTTATTTCAATTTTAAAATTGTGGTAAAATACACATA